GAAAATAGCATCAATAGTAACCAAGCAATTTGCAATTGAGAGATACCATGCATGGAATACACAAATATGCTGATAATGGTTTTGAGGAATTTCGGCGAGGCACCTTTTTTTTATCAAACTTTAAACAAAACAACAACAACTTTTTTTTATTCAAACAACTACGATAAAATCATCACATAGAGTAGTAAACTATGCTACACCTACAAAAAAATCTCAAAAATTTAAAATTTCAAAAATAATTGTGAATTATTGGGTGACCCTAATTTTATGCTCGGCAGTGTACTTCAAGCTCCTTATCTATTCTAAGAAGAACATCTACGTTACGTACTCTGTCCATCCAAGATATTCTGAGCATTCTACGATAGAACAACATCTCAAATGCTTCCAAATTTTTGCTTATGGCATCTAGCCTCTACACCGTAATATAAAATGCTAAACACATAACAACGAAGCACACAAATTCAAAGAGTGCTATTAAGATCGCCACTACACAACACTGACTTCATTTTAATGAAAGATAATCTGGCCTGTTCGATACTTGCCCGGACCTCTTGCATGTTGCCCAAGTTTTCATTGAACTGACAGCCCAGGTATTTGTAAGAATTAACGCGTTCGACTTGTTGGCCATTGACTTCTAATATGCCTCCAATGTTCCTTATTTCTTTAGCTATAACCATCCATTTTGTTTTTCCTACATTTAGGTTAAGTCCAAATTGTGAACTTTCGCCTGCAACTTTTGTTAGGAGCTCCTGCACATTTTTCAGTGTATCTGTGATAATAACTGTGTCATCAGCATATCTCAGGTTGTTGAATTCTATACCACATTTATAGTCAAGCCCTCTTTGCAGTTGTTCAGTGCGTTCTCTATGATTTTATTATTGTAGATATAAAACAACAGTGGAGACAATATGCAACCCTGATGGCGAATACCTCTCCGTATTCGAACATCTTCGGACAATTGGCCATCAACCTTATCTGAGCTGTCTGGTTCCAGTATAGATTAGCAATTATTTTAGGCCTCGATCATCTAGACACACTTCTTTAAGATATTGTAGTGATCCACCCCAAGTACTCTATTAATTAGTTAAAATGGTAAATGGCCAGCGGTTCTATTTGATGTTAATTATTTCCTCGGGTTGCTACAAAATTAATGGCGATTTCCATTTGTCAATAGGGACATAAAGCTTCCGTATTTTTTGCTCGGTATCCGTATCGGTATCGTACTGCGCATGCGCAGAAGCGATACGGACGCCGAGATACCGTACGTACAACGTAACGTTACGGCCCTCTCGCGGTATCCGTATCGGTAACGTATCTTGACATTCCTGACGCATGTGTCAAATTTTAAATGAATATTACCTCACTTTTCTTCCGGGTTGATTTAATTTATTTAGTTTATACTTTCTTGAGTTTCTTGTGTGTTTAGTGCTTCTCTATCGCAAAAAAAATAACAATTTTATATAAAAACGCCGGAGTTTTGACACGAAAATTACTAAGTTATGAGATGCGTTTACGTTTACCGGAACAGGGAGCGCTTTAACAGCCTTTTCGCTTGTCAACGTATCTAGTTGCGTTACGGATACCGATACCGATACCGGCGAATTATTTCAAGTAGCTTTATGTCCCTATTCAGTGCGCACTGTATCCGCATCTTTTTCTAAAAGCATGTAACATGTAAGGATAAGGATACATTTTTTTTGCACCGGTTCGACAAATGGAAACCGCTATAAGTGGTGATAGTCATGTTCATTATATTTTCTTAATTAAATATTTTAAACAATATAAAAATGTCATTTGATTCAAAAACAATTAAGCCTTTAGTAAAGCTCCTTAAGACGGTTTTACACTGTCAATTTATTGGTAAATTTATTGATCAAGTCGCTTGTCAAGAAATATTGATAATATAAAACTCCAAATTGGCGGCAATTCAACTTGTCCAAGTTCTCGCTCAATTTATTGACGGATTAGCGCACGTTCTATTTTTCCGTCAATTTTTGTGTCAATTCAGGATTTCAACATAGAAATGACTCTTTAAAAATATTAAAGCTAAGTGAGGTTATTTATTTTTATTTATCATTTACTTGTTGATGTTCAGTTTATTCTTCTACCTTCAGTTTCTTCTAGTTTTATTATTTAACATCTTCAAATTTATTTCTGGGTGAGTCATAAATAAAAATACATAACCTTGAAATTCTGGTTAAGTTGGTAGAATTGTTTATTGTCGTTTGTGTTGTCAACAAGCTGATCCGGTGTAAAGCTAAGTTGAGCCATTGTTGAGGCAACATAAATTGGCAAATAAATTGATAAACAAATTGATCAATTTAAATTGTCAGTGTAAAACTAGCATTAGAAAGCTCACTTAAAATCAATTGACTAATAGATAAATACTAAAGTCTCAAATTTCTACATGTACTTACAATCTGTCCTTATATACACAAACGATCAAAATTGCTTTCAGTTACTTAGTACGCACAAAGGAAAACCTGGGGTCGTATTTTCGAATTCATTCGAGTACATTTCGTCTACGAAATTTGACTGACAGCAATGTAAATTAAATGGGAAGCATTCGAAATCGTATCAAATTTCGTATACGAGAATCTTCGAAAATACGACTCCTGATTCTACTTAATGACTCTTACTGGACAATAGTCAATCGCAAATTTTTAGATTTTTGCCCGAGGCAAAACAAAGATAAGAAAAACTTTTTGGTGGAAACTCACTCACTGCCAATTTTCTTGATTCTTAAAATCCTACTATCAAATCAACTGCTGGATGTTATCTCCCTCTTTCTGATTGTATCCTGCTTAAAATGTACTCAATTCCTACCAAAAATCTGTTACGTGGGCGGTCATTTAGCATTTCTCGAACCAATCCTCTTATTTGACCTCGTTTATCGAGTGATAAACGATATTGTTGTTTTCCAAGAATTGTTTTTTTTTTTCTAAGTTTTTATTCAGGATATGTTGCAATATCCGGCGGAAACACCGGTGTTGTAGTTTATCAGTTATGACGCAATTAAATCACATGAGTTTAGTGAGTGAGTTTTTTTTATCGGAAGAGTCTATTAATTGGGGACATCGAACTCTGACATCCGGTCGCTTATCGCTTGTGTTTTTGCTTAAAATTTCGTCATTTTTTATTTATACTATTTTTATACAGAATTAGATACTCTGGATTGCTAGGAGATTTAATAGGTTGAGATTAAATTATCTTGCAACTGACGTAGGTACTTTTCTAATTAAAATGACTACAAAGATGCTTTTACCAATTGAGTTTGATTATATTTTCTGAGATTTTAGCACTTCGAAATTTTTGGGGTCACCACAATATTCTATGAGTTTTTCGTGCTGGACTCGATCAAAAGCCTTCTCATAATCTATGAAACAGGCATATACTGGCACCGACACATCCCTAGAACGTTGAAACAAGGCCTGAACACTAAATACAGCCTCTCTAGTAAGTACCAAACCCCTTCACGAAATCCAAACTGTGTGTCTCCTATGAACGATTCGCACTTTCTGTATATTCTTTCATGGATAATCTTAAAAATATTTCCAGTATATGACTCAATAGGCTAATTAAACGGTAATCACTAGGTACACTTCTTTGCCGAGTGCTTTTTAGGCAGTTTAACAAAGGTTGATTACATCTAGTCAACCGGAATTTTACCGCTGCGATAAATCAAGTTACATAGTTTGACCAGCGTATTTAACGAATCTTCGTTCTTTGGAAGTTTTAAAACTTCCATGTATACTTCGTCTTGTCCTATCGCTTTTCTGGTTTTAGCCAATGATATTGCGTGCTGAACTTCTTCCTTTGTAATATCTATGCTTTGGTTTGAGAATTTCTCCGGATGTTCGGACCGATTATCGCCTAAAAAGATTTTCAATGTAGTTACACCGTTCTTGTAATTTTTCTTTGGGATCAGGTATAATTTTGCATTGGTTGTCCACAAAGATTCCTGCCGAGTTTCTTTGTTTAGAATGATTGCGACACCGTTATAGTGATTTGGGTCGTCATCACCTGCGTGATAGGTAGGTATGGTGATCGTCTATTTGGCATTCACCTGAGTTAGGCCATCTTACTTCATTAACTACCAAAATTTCTATCTCTAACCTTTTCAACTCTTTGACAACATTATTCACTTTTCCTGCCTGAAACATACTTTGAACGTTCAAAGTTGCAATCTTCTTCATAACAGGACCGGAGATTCTTAGTCTTAGCACCCTTTGATTACTTAAGACCTGCCGTGAAATGAGGGCCTGGGCTTTTGGTTTTCTTGTCATGCTGATGATTTTTCCTGGGGATGATAATGAGATGGTTTCCCGTTGCCTTCTTCATCACAGTATTGAAACAGTTAAGACAGTCTTTGTCACGCTTTTAACTGTGTAACTTGCTGCCGTTTTCTTCCTATTTCTAGACATACGCCAGCAATTACTTTTAGTGCTACTGCTTCCTAGCACTAATTTTCTCGCCATATCTGACTACCCTCAGATAGTTATAAGGCTGCAGGTCGGTGCAGTATCCAGGGTGTAGCACGTGGTGAGAGCTGATCGCCCGGTAAGGACCAATTGTTTAAGACCATTTCCAGTCTATGACTCTCTATGCGACCGATTGATCTTCGTAGAGCCAAAACTATAAGCTAAAGCCTGGAGCTTGAAAATATAGCCTGGATATTCATGGAAATCCTATTCCTGGCTCTTGAGCTAGTTGCCAACTATTCAAAAGTGCGGTTTGAGAAGCTCATTTTTGACCATTGTAGAGTCAACTGGAATATACGTATCTTGTTCAGTTTTTGTTAAGGATTTCATCAATTTTGTCCTTGTAATATTTTGTATTTTGAACTTTTAATGTGTTAAATGTACTGTTTTTGAATACTTGAAATTGGTTGGAACAACTATTAGTTTAAGTCAGAAGTGTTATGCTACAGCCTGCTTTGTCTACAGAACTTGTATTCTTGACAATTCAAGTATCTTTCTATTCTAATCTTATTTTTGTAGCTTCAAGAAAAATATCCGTTTATCTACGAATGTTTACGCACAGCGCCTCCAGACGATATCCTAGCCAGAATCAATCGCGATCGATTGAGGACAACTTACCAAGTAGACTATTGCAAAATGAGTAAGTACTTACCCTTGCACAAAGAAATAAATCCTTAATATTTTAAATTTTAAACTCAAACTTGCAAAAAAAAAAATGCAAAAAAAAAACAATAAATCCTTTCAGACGAATATCCGTCGGCTCCTTACGACGAAATACTAAGGGCGGCAGGGGTGGACGGTTTGCCCCTTTGTCAGCAATCAGTCAATTTGCCTGGCGACTCTTGTCCAATTTATTCGACGTCCAGAATGAGCACTCCCAATAAGGGCGGACAACCGTGCGGATCGATTTATAAATCGAAAGAGGCTGCCTATTGCGGTATATAAACAATAATTATTTTCAGTAAATTTTTCTTATATATGAGAGCTAGCAAAAGGATGTAAGATCTGTATAAGGACTTTAAATAATGTCAATCAGCAAAATCTTACATTAACTCTCTCAGTCCAGTATTACCTTTTTTTACTGAAAATAATAAAATTCTTTTTAGTGGGCAGTTGTAGAGGACCATTTACAACGATGACGTCGGGCGCCACAGAATACCAAGACGCAATATCTCGTCTAGGCCAACTTATCATTAGAGACAAAATTCACGATCCAACTGTTAAACGAAGCATATTTGCCAAATATTAATTTATTATTATAGGAGCTACTCTCTTCATTAAATTCATTATTGTAGAAGAAATCCCGCACGGTTCACCAATGGAAATGATACGGGCGGCGACCAATGACGTGGCACCTTCGTGTCCACCTAAAATGCTCACTTGCGGACACCCTTGCAAACCCGTACCGAGAAATAAGGCTTTGAGGGTTAGTACTATTACTAAGCACTTTTTGGAAACCAGTATGGCTGCTAGAGGATACAGAACATCTTGCCAGAAAGAACCAAAAGGTAATTCATGTGTGTTGTGGATAAATGTGAACTAATTTAGAAAAATTATTATTAGATTCGATTAGCTTCAGAGAACCGGCCAAGCCTTCAACCACTTATCAAGACACCATTGGGAAATCGGGAAATTTAATTTTAATAGTGAAACTTTAATAAACTGGTTTTAATCAATTAGGATTTTCATCTATTTATGGGTATTGAGTATTCAAACTAGGTGGTATCATCCAATTGTTTCTTATTATTATTTTTTTTTTTTAAATAAATACCAAACAAAAAAATTATATATACAACTAGAAAAAAAAATGCAATCTTATGTAAATTTCCAAAAAAAAAAACTTACACAGTGGTGTATTGAGAGAAAACGCTATAAATTATGTAAAAATTTGAGTACCTACACCACCCCTCTCTCAAACTAGTACCAGTTCATATAGGAATGATGTTTTTTTGTCCCTAACTTCAGGGACACGAAATTGTAATTAAAATAAATATTATGGCATATTCACTAGCTGGAGTAGATGTGGCGCAGATCCGGTACGATATCAGGCCTGTCCTTTATAGACACGGCCATCTGAGGCAAATTGTTAATTTTTACTTCTTTTTTGAACAGTTGACCCATACTTTTACCTATCAACTACAAGAAAATTTGGTCAATACAAAAATCACACTACAAGATTGAGTACTTACATTTCCAGTCAATTTTTTAAACAGGTCTTTTTTAACTTTTTCCACTTTGTTACCTTTGCTTGTAGTACCTGAAATACGTTCGTCCAACTTTTGCAAATCAACTGGATTCACTCCAGGAATTTGTTGCATTACCTACAATTTATTATTAGTTGAAATAATAATAATAACAAATAATTATTGATTTTTTTACCCCTAAAACTTCCACAAAAGTAGGCCGTAACATTTCGTAAATTTGAGCGCCTAAAGTTAGCAGCGCCCCCTGATTCGCTTCGTGTTGTCCGTGCAAAATTAGGGCGTTCAAAATAGCGGCCATAATGTGAGTGGCCATTTCGCCATTGAGTGAAGCATCAACAGTCAATTGTCTCACTATGGGGCCCGTCAATTGGGTGGCTTTCAAAGAGGCATTGCTGTCGATCCAACTCAAAGCTCCCAGTACTGATAAGACTATCGGTTGGCAGGTTTTTTCGTTGCGTAACAAAATCAGACCTGAAAAAAAAAAGAATGATTTGAAATCTTGATTCACGGGTTTGTAGCGAATTTGATTGGCTTCAATTAAAGCCCAATTATATTGAAATCGGATGAAAATTAACAAAGCTGTGAGGCAGAAACTGTTTCAGTGTCATTTTTGAAAAATTTTCAACGTTCGATAAATTCAATTTTGAAGGTTCTCAGATGCAAAACTGTTAAAACCAAATCAAAATCTTAATTCACAGGTTTGTAGAGAATTTAATTGGCTTCAAAAAGAGCTTAATTGCATTTAAAATCTGATGAAAATTAACGGAGCTGTGTGGCAAAATCTGTCTCAGTGTCATTTTTAGAAAATTTTCAATATTGCACAAATTCAATTTTGAAGCTTCTCAGGTGCAAAACTGTTGAAAATTGAAACAAATATACAATGTTGTATAGTTAACTAAACACAAAAACCCAATAGAAATTTTCAAAAACCCAAGTTGTTTCCAACCCTGATTGTAAACCAAAGAAAATCTTACCAAGATCTGAAATAACTTCAGCAGTCAAACTGGATCTAGTAGAAGCTGGAGTGGGAGAAATACTCAACACTTCTGTCTCCATTGTATCCGTACTGGATTCGGGAGTAAGACTGCCGCCAACCAGAGCCACCTTTAACAAATCCAAATACTCTCTGGTAAGAGCTCTAGTAAGGAAATCCTCTAGAACCTCTTTAGTATCGGCATTATCTTCTTGCAACTCTCGATTCCGAAACTCGATGACTTTTTGCCAATTGCCTTGCAGCCTGTTTAAATCTAAAACCCAAAAAAATGTACAATGTTGCCATATAAATAATAATACAATTATTACTTACATATGGGAGCAATGTGAGCCAACACTGGCAAGAGAACCATTTCGTAGTAAGGAGCTGGACAAGAGTACACAAAAGATTTTAAAAATACTCTTATGATTGGTCTCAATCTAAAATCAGGAACGTACTCTAAACAACTCAAAACGCTATTAATAATCGCCAAAGCCAAATCAGGAATATTGTACAAGTCTCTGCCCAACGAGGGCCCCATAGAACCAATCAAATGATAACAGTTCTCGTGCAACCCAGTCAAAAACCGTTGCATCCTTTCAAACGGACTTTGATCCAACTGCTGCAGATCACCATTATCACTACAATACCCTACTTGTCCTAATAAAACAGACTTTTCCGTTTCGGGCATCGCCAAACACGCCTTGTAGCTACTATGTATGATTCTTTGAGCCTCTGGCGTAAACAACTCATTAAATATTTTAATCAGCGAAAGAATGTGAGGTAGTAGAGGCACTACGTGAGGTGCGGCCGGGTTCCGACAGACTGGATTTCCAGCTTCAGTCAAGGACACGACGAAGCCCCCTCTGGTGGCGCGTTCCGGATCGTCGGGCCAGGAACATCGTTTGATGGCACCCAAGACTAAATAGACGCAAAACATCAAGTTGGTGGTGGATTCGTCTGGAGGGGGTTTATTCAGGCCGACGAAGCTGATGAATTCGGGGGCGCCTTTTAGGGCTCCAGTGGCTACAATGTTGAGAAATTGGGCGTTGGCTTCACAAAGAATTTCGCCTGCGAAAGAACTTTGTCGCTCGTAGTCGCCTGGAAGAGAATGTTTGTGATTAATGGTGGAGTATATCATTCAATTAAGTAAAAATTTCTACTTAACTATTTGAATAGAATAGAAAAAATATTGACATGCTGTGATGATGATTGTTCAGAAAACGAAATCTGAGAGCTCAGAAAAGCTATAACAGTGGTTTTGACTCAAACAAAGGTTTGATAAAAGATTATTTTTACTATTGATATCTCCATAAAATGAAGTTAGAGATGAGCAGGTTAATCGAAAAATGTGGAGAAGACAAACTAAACTGTTCTCAGAAAGAGGTTTATGACTTTTTTTCTATTAGAGATAGAAAGCTGAAATTTTCAGCGATTCTTATTCCACTAGAGGACTACAATCCCTGGAAATTTCAGCTCATTTGGGCTTATATTTTCTGAAATAAAGTCTTGTTAAGCAATTTGGGGTAAATTATCCGTTTATCAATTTTTCTGAGTGTCTTTTTCCACAGATTTCGGCTTCAAATCTCAAAATATTTGAGTGTATGGACTTTGGGGGGTCCCAACCCCAACTGATCACATAGACACACAATCTCAACACAAAAACAAAATTGAAATTTCAGCATTCTTGTATTAAGGACCTTAAGATTTAGATTTCTGAAAACTTTGAAAGATCATAACTTTTTTTCTATTAGAGATGGAAAGCTGAAATTTTCAGCGATTCTCATCCCAATAGAGGAATACAATCTCTGGAAATTTCAGCTCATTTGGACTTATATTTTCTGAAAGAAAATCGCGTTAAGCAATCTGGGGTAAATGATCAATTTATCCATTTTTCTGAGTGCCTTTTTATATAGATTTCGGCTTCAAATCTCAGAATAAATTAGTGTATGGAGTTTGGGGGTCCTTAATGATCATTAAGACATAAAATCTCAACATGAAAAAAATTGAAATTCTATCATTTTAGTAGGTACTAAGGAATTGATTTAGATTTCTGAAAAATTTGGAAGATCATAACTTTTTTTCTATTAGAGATAGAGAGCTGACATTTTCAGCGATCTTATCCCACTAGAAGACTACAATCCCTGGAAATTTCAGCTCATTTGGACTTATATTTACTGAAATAAAGTCTCATTAGGCAATTTGGGGTAAATTATCAATTTATCAATTTTTCTGAGTGTGTTTTTCCATAGATTTCTGCTTCAAATCTCAACATAATTGAGTGTATGGAGTTTGGGAGGTCCTAACCCCAACTGATCACATAGACACAAAATCTCAACACAAAAAAAAAATTAAATTTCAGCATTTTTGTACTAAGGACCTTAAGATTTAGATTTCTGAAAACTTTGGAGGATCATAACTTTTTTTCTATTACAGATAGAGAGCTGAAATTTTCAGCGATTCTTATCCTACTAGAGGACTACAATCCCAGCTCATTTGGACTTATATTTTCTAAAATAAAGTCTCATTAGGCAATTTGGGGTAAATTATCGATTTATCAATTTTTCTGAGTGTGTCTTTCCATAGATTTCGGCTTCAAATCTCAGAATAATTTAGCACATGGAGTTTGAAGGATCCCCAATGATCATTTAGACACAAAATTTCAACATAAAAAAGAATGAAATTTCATCATTTTAGTACTAAGGTAGCCACCTTATGATTTAGACACAATGACACAACACTACAATTCCTGAAAATTTCAGCTCATTTGGACTTATAGTTTCAGCATATAAAAGAAAAATATGGTAATACATTATCAATCGCCATCATTCAAAAGAACTAGCATTAGTGAGAGGTATAGATATCATCGCAGCTAAATGATATGAAACTATTTCATTTTGCTATACTTTCCATTCTGTTGGTTCTAGGAAAATCTAGGTATCTTAAATAATAAAAGACTAGAAGAAAATTGAAAAATTCTTGAAAATTATTCTTGGTGAAAAAGAGTATTAATTACAGGTTCATTCTATTTCAGCTCTTAGATTTTGCACAGAAACTCTTCCCTATTTTTTAACAAATATTCTCCGTACTTCCTTGGACTTCCTGAGATTCTCATGTCATTAACATTCTTGTTATAAAAAGGTGGACAAAACGTTGACTAAATCGATGAGAGATATATACTTCCCGAGTCGAGAATTGGGTTTCCTTCCTTTGCATGTTATAAAAAAAAAACTTCTATGATAAAGAGTCTACGAGGAAATAGAGAGATCTTTGAAAATTATTTATTTGACTTTGAGGTTCTCTTCTCTTCCTCCACCCCCCTAGGATTGACTCAATAATTTACAATTTTTCTACAAACTTTCCTTAACTGCCTCAATAATTTCTTAGACTTCCATCAATCAAACTTCTATACATTTCCACAAACATCTTCATTTTTCAATACTCTTCCTTCAAGATGTTCGCAAGTGCTTCTACCCTCGCTCTAAGTATTCAGAAAATATGGGAAACATTTTTGAAAATTTGGAATAAAGAAGATCCTTCCATAGGTTAAGTTTTCTAATTTTCTTTGAAATTGTTTCTGTAGATTCTTTAAAACTCAAAATCTCTAGCTCCTTTATTTTCAAGTCAAATCTCCAGATTTTCTTTTCAAGTTATTTCTACATCGAAAAATGCCAAGTCAAGAGACACTTGGTCTCTTATTTGATTTCCTTTGATTAAGTTTCTTAATAATTCCCCAGACTTCTTTGGATTTATCCATACTTTCCTCAGACTTTCATCAATCGAACTTCTCAACATTTCCCAGTTTTTTTCCCTCACTACTTCTTCGATTAGAGGTCAACTTCCAAGTGGTTTGCCACTGGCTCGATGAGGAAAAGAAATCTTTTAGAATGAGAGCCTGAGAGGGATAGAGAGATATGCACTTGAAAATTGTCTCTATAAACACTATTGGTTTCTTCAATTTCAAATACAATTTCCAGTTTTTTCTCCACACAAAAGTCCTAGATCAAGGGGAAAATCGTCTCCTAAATTTTTTAAGAAACCTCCTATATTATTTGATTAATATTTCTCAGACTTCCTTTGAACTTCCTTCGATTTCCTTATTAGTTCTTTATACTTTCTTGGATTTTTTTGAATTTGGATTAATCAAACTCCATCGTACTTTCTCGATTTTTTGCTCTATTTGCACTTCTTAGTAAATCCCATATTTCCTCAGATTTCTCAAATCTTTCCCGAGCGTCCTTGATACTTTTTGGTACTTCTGCAAACTTCATCAATTTTCCCTTCACTTCCTCTGCACTTCCTCCATTGGAAGTAGGACATCATCTGGAGGTAAAATATTTCCAGGACTTTCTTTGCACCCTTTCCGACTTCCTCGGATGTCATTAACCAGTCAATTCGGATTCAGGAGTGGCTTAAATACAACATCAGCTATTCTTAATCTGGTCTCTCAGATACAAGAGTCCTTTGAAAATGGTACGTACATGTCCGAGACGTTCTGCGACCTTAGCAAAACCTTTGACTGCGTTTCACGGAAAATTTTACTTGCCAAACTAAAAAAATATAATTTTTCCGATAGTAGTATTGCAGTTCTATCTAGTAACTTGTCAAACCGTCCTCAGGTGGTGAGGGTTGGTGGTGTGGAATCCTCAGAGAGGGAGGTGCTGGTTGGTGTACCACAGGGGTCAATCCTGGGACCCCTTTTGTTTCTTATTTATATAAATGATCTACCTCGAGCAGATCACATCGCCCGGTATACCCTCTTCGCGGATGACACTACCATAGCCTGCACCAGCCATGATTACGAGGGAGCTAGGACTGCGGCGCGTGAGGCGCAGGAAAGGGCAGACCTCTGGTTCAAGGCCAACAATTTGTTCTTGAACATGGCCAAAACTCAAAACATGGTCTTTTCCATGAGATGGCTTCCGGAAGATGATGTCACTGCTAAATTTTTAGGCATAACTTTAGATTCTAGACTAAGATGGAATCATCACGCATCTTCCTTGGTTTCCAAATTAAGCTCAAACACCTTTCTACTTCGTAGGCTGTCGAACAGTGTCTCCCGGTCAGTCCTGAGACAGGCATACTTTGCCCTTCTGCACTCCCATATATCTTATGCAATTATAATTGTACTGGCGCAACAGATGTCTTCCGTGTCCAGAGACGTGCAGTTAGGGTTATCGCAAACTTATCATACCGTGATGACTGTCGACACGCGTTTGTGTCCCTAGGGATCTTGACCGTCCCTGCTCAATTCATTCTTGAATGTGTACTGCATGTGAGGAACAACCTGCATAATATTGACAGGCATGAGAATGTGCATTCCCATGAAACCCGCAACCGTGGGCAACTAGTGCCTCCGCACAGACGACTTAAAAGAAGTCAAGATGGCCCTGGCTTCCTTGGGATCAGGCTTTTTAATAAGCTGCCCCCTCAAAGGGCTTTCAAAGATTTTCTTCTGAGTAAGGGATTTTATAGTGTTAGTGAATTTTTTAATTGTAATGTTATCCTTTGAAAGTGTGATGTATTCTATAGTACCTGACCTGTTTTTTAAATTTTTGTTTTTTAAATTGTGGTAAATTAGGATTAAGTTTTGCAATTTTTTTAGAATTTTTATATAATGAATAGTGCTTTACTCTATTTTTTTATTACATTTTTGACGTGTGTAAGTGCTCTGCTCTGTATGGTAACATGAATAAAGAATTTGAATTTGAATTTGAATTTGAGTCTCATACTTTCTCAGATGTCTTAATACTTTCTCAGATTTCTTAATTTTTCACCGATCTTTCTCAATACTTTTTGGTATTTTCCTACATTTCCGTAAACCCCAATTCTCCCTTTACAAACTCTACACTTCCTTAATTGGAAGTAGAATCTTCATCTGTATTTCCTTCGCTGTCCTTAACAACTTCCATGCTTCCTTAGATTTCTCAAATATTCATCAAACACTCTCAATACTTTTTGGTACTTTTCTGAATTTCCGCAAACTTTCTCAATTCTCCTATTAAGTACTACCTTTGTATTTCCTTGGAAGTAAGTAAGATCTTCCCAAGTAGTTTCTCCTAGCTATATACCAAAAAAATTCAGTTTTTGTTTTCAAAAATACTATCAAATACTGTTCATATTTTGCTTCTATTTTTAGAAAATACTGGAAAAAATGGGACATATAGGGCCAGCTCCACAAACGTTGGTAACCCAACGGTAACCACAAAACACTGGTAGCTTACAATATATGTTTCATATTGTGTGGTTTAGCCAAAACCTTCGGTTAAGCTTCAGAATATTTCATGTAGGCAACCCGCAACTATGAGTTTGATAACCAGTGCAGGTTACTACCACTTGTGAAACTGGGCCATAATGTATGATTTAGCCAAAACCATTGGTCAAGCTTCAGGATATTCCATGTAGTCAACCTACAACTATGAGTTTGATAACCAGTGCAAGTTACTACCAATTGTGAAACTGGGCCTAAGGCTTTCATTCTTTTGGAAAAGCTTCGAAGAGCCTTTTGTATGATTTTTGAGCTTCTCTTATTAAATTTCAGTTCTAATGGATCCAAAAATCAAACGTGTAAACCACTCTAATTGCAACTTGTTGCTCAAAAATGACATTTTACTTCTCTTCCAGCTCTAAATGAATCGAAAATGGGATTTTCATGCTTTTCTAATTCCAATTTGAGCTCCAGAATTACGCGTTAAGCAATTTGGGGTAAATTTATCAATAATTCAATTTTTCTGAGTGTCTTTTTCCATAGATTTCGGCTTCAAATCTCAGAATAAGTTAGTTCATGGAGTTTGGACTGTTTGGGAGGTCCTGAATGATCATTTAGACACAAAATCTGAACATAGAAAAATTTTGAAATTTCATCATTTTAGTACTACGGTATCTCCCTCATAATTTGGATTCTTAAAAACTTTGGAAACTCATAAATTTTTTTCTATTATGTAGAAAGCTGAAATTTTCAGCGATTCTTGTCCCAGTAGAGATCTACAATCCCTGAAAATTTCAGGTCATTTGGACTTATGGTTCCAGAAATAAAATCATGTTTATCAATTTGAGGTGATTAATTTTTCAGTTTTTCTGAGTGCCTTTTTCCATAGATTTCGGTTTCAAATCTCAAATTATCAAGTGTATGGAGTTTGGGGGTTTCTGAATGATCATTTAGACACAAAATCTCAGTATAATTTTTTTTTAAATTTTATTATTATTTTAGTACTAAGGTTATGACCTTATGATTTAGATTTTTGAAAACTTTGAAAAATCATAACTTTCTTTCTAATAGAGATAGAAAGCTGAAATTTTCAGCGATTTTTATCCCAATAAAGGACTACAACCCCTGGAAATTTCAGCTCATTTGGACTTATAGTTCCAGAAATAAAATTGTGTTAAGCAATTCGGGGTGATTTATCAATAACTCAATTTTTCTGAGTGCCTTTTTCCATAGATTTCGGCTTCAAATTTCGGAATAGTTTAGTGTATGGAGTTTGAGGGATCCCGAATGATCATTTAGACACAAAATCTCAGCACAAAAAAAAAATTGAAATTTCATCATTTTAGTACTAAAGTAGCTACCTTATGATTTAGATTTTTGTAAACTTATTATTTTAGTACCAAGGTTATGATCTTATGATTTACATTTTTGTAAACTTTAAAAAATCCTAACTTTTTTTTTAATTAAAGATAGAAACCTGAAATTTTCAGCGATTCTTATTTTATTAGAGAGCTACAATCCCTGAAAATTTCAACTCATTTGGACTTATAGTTCCAGAAATAAAACCGCGTCGAGCAATTTAGGGTGAATTTATCAATTTTTCAATTTTCTGTATATGGAGTTGTGGGATCCCAAATGATCATGTGAACACCCTGTACATACACATAATGAAATTTGAGATACTTAATGATTCAAGGACATAATTACTATATGAACTTGGAATCTCTACAGTAGTTGAATAAAGAACAAAAAATATAAATACAATAAAACATAAACTAACAGAATAAATGTAAACCATGAGATAAAACACGAGTAAACACCTTTCCTCAATACCAAGAATAATAATTTATCTTTTACCTTATTTACATCAAGTGAGTGTGAAATTATTGAAATTTCAAATTTTGTTGCAAAAAAAGAGTGAAAATTACATAAAAGGTACAATATCACTTACCAAAATGATTGGAAATTAACAACAGACCTTCCAAAAGCGTCACCCGTTCCATGTTGCTCAACCTAGCAACACTGTCAGGTCTAGACAAATTTTCCACTGTAGCTTTGATCTGATCGAAAACGGGCAACAACAACAACGGATACTTGTTGCCAATTTTCACAATCAAAGAGGTAGCGTGCCGCCTGACTCCTAGCATCGGTTTTGAGTTTAGTTCGTTTTTTTCACCTTTAGGAATGTACACTAGAGTGGCGAAGATTTTTTCCAAGACTTGAGGCAAGAGGGCGGCACCGGAAGCGGCCACTGAATTTACTGAAGGAGCCATTTGGCCGGTGGACATGCTCAGAAATACAAACAGCGCGCTGATACAACTCAGAAGAGTCGATATGATTAGAGGGTCAATAGGTTGATATGTTAAGCATAGCTGCAGCAAACGTAGTCCTGAAGGTATCGGAGGTCTTTCTGGGGCTTGTAGGACTCTGCTCAGAACGCTTTCTAAAAAATTGGCCAAGGCTTCCCATTCTAGATGAACTGGATCTGAGAATTTTAATCCGTAAGTTGTATTTGGCACTGACAGGCATTTATGCAGCCACTGTTCTGCATAGTTGAAGGTGATCAATGGGGCCACAATAGTTGCCTGTCTTTAAACAAAAAAAAAATATAATAATTATTAGGCTTCAATTATTTTTTAAGTGTTTCTTCACCTAAACGAATCCAAAAAATCTCCGCGGCATCTGTAAAAAAAACTGGACCATTCCTCGTCGCTGTCAAAATCCACTTTGACATAAGCTAACGTTTCCGATAGAATTCCATTGCTTTTACCCGTGGGATAATTGAATTTGATGATTTTAGGTGCGCTGCATTGCACCCATTGGGGCATGTATTGCAAAAAAATCGAATCTCGAGACACCTAAAGAGAAACATAATTATTTTTTTGTGTAAACATGTGAGTTTGGTGTTAAACCTGTTCGTGTTTTAGCATGCTGTTCCACAAGGGGTTGGCCAAGTGGGCCAGTACTAAGCTCGGATGATTGCTGTAGGCTAAAACGGCTTCCAGGAACATGGAAAAATTTATTGGTCTAAATGTGGGGTCTTTGGTCCAGATGGTGCATAATTGTGTTGTTAATCCACTAAGGACCTGCAATAGGAAATTCAATTAAAAGTAACGTGCTAATTTATTGATGAACGATGTATGTTTTATGAGAATCTGGCAAATTTTTCCAGGGTTAGGAGTTTTGGGGTATGAGATAAAAAGTCAAAAATAAATGTTTGCTGGCAACGTTGTCAAGTTGTAGAAATAAACAGGAGAGTCTTCATACTAAGATCTTGTATAATAAGGTTTCAAAGCTATCAGAATCTCCAAAATTCTCAGTCGTTATTGTGATGTCCTCGAGTCTTAAATCATGATCCTCAATACACTTCAAAAGTTTTGTAGATTATAGGAATCTTTAAATGTTCCAAAATGGTTTAAAATGAGACATTTGAGTTTGTAGAACCTTCATTCTAAAATTCCTTCAAAAGTGAATCTACAGAATTTCGAAATAATTGAGTTTTGTATCTTTTCAGTTATGTCCAATAGGACCCTTCGGAATCTAGAAATTTTGGAATTCTTCATAATTTTCAAATCAAAGAGCTTTAAAATTCTTGAAGTCTTTGAAGTTTCAAAGATTTCAAATCAGAGGTACTTGTAAAATCAATCTTGGAGTATTCAAGCTCTTTAGTATTGCAGAATTATGAGCTCCGGGACTTTAGGATCTTTGGAATATTTTCATTAGTTTTACTTCATGAGCCTTGAAACTATATAGAATCATTAAATGCTCTCGTATGAGACTAAAATAGTCCAAAATTGAACGTCCTTTTGACGACACACTGGTCATTGTGGTAAGTTGGGATGAGGTGCTCCAAACAGTGAAAATTCACTGAAATTTTTCTGCTTAAGTGTTTGTCTATTCCCGGCTTTTGAATTGTTTTTTTCGGAATATCTCCAAACAGAGAACATTCAAAAGCCTGAAATAGGAAATAATAGCATGTCTACTCTATTAGAAATATTCCAGTCCCAGAAGCGAAAAGGTCATTGCAGCCTTTCGGGCCGGTTTTTCTGCTTTCTAATAAACTGTCAGGTAATGCAATCTGGTGGATAAAAATGCAATATGTAATCCCATTGGTCAACCAATTATGCAGTGACAAACAGGATTATAGATCTGTAAATCTATCTTGCAGATAGTTAGCAGCAAGTTTATCTCAAGATGAATAAACCGGGCCTAAGTTAGAGAACATTGGGTGTTAGCGAATACAATTTCTATACAAAAACAGATCTGCAAAAAAGTTGTCTGATCCAAATCCATTCAAACATTTAAAATGCTGGAGGATGTTTTCCAGCAGGCCTTTCTCCCTATTCCAACAAACATCCCAAGCAGCAAAGGTTAGTCGTTATGACTTCGATTTTAAATAAAATTACGTCAATTAACTAAAATTCGACGTCGGGAAGAGGCTGCAAAATATGACATGAACCAACAGGTTCAAAAGTTACCATGTGAAACTCAATATACCCCATTCAGAAAAAATACCCTGTATTTAGACGTCTATGAAGCGTCCATTTCATATCGTTGAATTGGACGAATATAAGATCAGTGTGGATAGATTGAAAAGTTATGTATCTACATAGTAATACCAGTACAGTGGGTACCCTACATGAAAAAACGATTAATTGTTTTGCACTGAGTAGTTTTGGCAATATTTGCCACTCGAATAATGATCATTCTCAAAAAATTTTTCATCACATTTTCGAAACAATCCGAAATTGGTGTTTTGTAAATGATGAATCATCACTGAAAGATCTGTGACTGAAGTAAGAAAAAAAAGGGTTCAGGGTAATGTAAACAAGCTATTGTACCTTTCTTTTCTTATTTATTTTTATATTCGTCATTCGGCAGTAGACTATTGTGGAGGAATAACCCATAAAAAAAATAATAATTACTTAAGCTATGATCCTAACATTCCTAACTGTGCTTCCCTTCAAATTAAAATTTTGGTAAGCTACTTTTAGTTGAGCATGTTTGGTATTAGAATTTAAGCATTTGGCTGTGGATGTTTTCAATAACTTCCTCTTAACAATTGAAAGTTGCGTTTTACTGATATCCAGGGCAACAAATCATGGTTTGATTATTTCTTTTTGGTAATTGGTGTCCCCCGGGGAAGCCGTCCACCATAATAGGTTAGGATCTCATTTGTTACACGATTATACTATTTAAGGTAAGTGTAGCAGTGGGGCACTACCGAATACCGGCGGCGAGAAATGGTTGAATTATGATTTGCTGTTGGGTGTCAGCTGCACAACGTGGTTTCAAGTGAATTTAGCCTAATGAGGCTTATGCTTTTCAACTTTGCCAGGCAAAATTGTTTTTGTGTTTACCAAATGAAGAGTCAAGTGATCATGTTCTATAATCAAACATGGTATTATACCTATCTTTTCCAAAGATGTCAATGTTAATCTTGTGAATTGAATAATAACAAAAATATTATTGTTCTTTTGCTCTAGGAACACCGCCTTCTTGTAGGTTTAAGGTATGATAATTTTAGTATTATGCAAAGAAAAATATTTACCTATTTCTTAGTTATAAACAAAAAAAAATACAAAATTCTAAAAAAGTAAACTAAAAAAATTCATATGAAAATCTCTTTAGATAGAAACAATAGAAAAAAATCTTCGGGCATATTTGACTGACGTGGCCCCGTCCACGTCCAAGTCCATGAAAATAACCTGGGGGGCCACATCAGTAATATAAAAACTGACATAAACAAAATGGTGGGGAAAGCTAAAAGCAAACAAAAAAATACTATAAATAATATAATCCATCATTTCAGCCACTTTTTAATAAATATTAAGAAAAAAACAAGTGTGGCATCGTGGGATATTTTCTCAATATACGCAATGTGTTAAATTTTTGAAGTCTTCAAATTTTCTAAGACTTGAATCATAAATTTTTATTTCAGAATCTTGGCATGGAAACTCTTTAAAGCCTTCAGAACGTTGGAATTTCTAGAATTTCCAAATGTTTCAAAATCTCTGAAGACTTTAAATTTCCAGAAGTCATTATCTTTAAAGTCTTGATGTTTTTAAACTTTCTAGTGCTGCAGAATCTTTACTGTTTAGTCATGAATTTTGGATTTAAGGAATGTGGATTGAATTTTTTGATTTTTAAATTGTCCTGGCCCCCTTTTTTTCGTAAATTTCGGCTTCAAATCGATCAATAAATAACTGTATGTTTAGAGTCGAAATTTTCAAGATAAAGAATTTGAAATTTCATTATAATTACGCTTTGAGTACTAAGGTACTTTCTTTAAAAGAATCAAGGAACAGTTAAAAACTTGGAATAGCAAAGAAAAATAATCAAATTTTCATAAAATTCTTGTCTCTATTTCTCTTCTCTTAAGTTTCAATTTTCAACTATTCCAGGCATTTCTGTTTCCATCCAAATTTCTTTTTATAAGACAATCAAGGAACATTGAAAAACCTGGAATAAGATTTCTTTCCATAAAAGAATCAAGGCACAATCAAAATCCTAGAATAGTAAAGAAAAATGATCAAATTTCTGCTTCAAATCTCATGATGAGATACCTAAATCACTGTATGAAATTTCTGGGATCCCAATTGATCGTTTAAAGTTGAAATCTCTACATAAAAAGGTCTATAAACCTAGCAGTCCCAAGGTGGAAAAATCTTCGTGAACCATATAATAATTATGTAGGTGCTTTTTAGGTGCTAATTAGGGCCTCTAATTAAAAATTAGGTGCTCCTTTAGTTTTTGAGAAAATCAAAAAAAAACTAAGGGACTGCTAGGTTTATAAAAGCTAACAGTCCCCTATGGTAAAAAATATTTTTTTTAAATTTTTCTTTGTACCAGAATTAGGTGCTTTTTAGGTGCTCCTAAATAATCGAAGAAAAAAAGGGGACTGCTGGCTTTACGTTTACTTGTTGGTTTGTCAGAATGGCAAAAAAACTTCGGGATCTATATAATAATTAGGTGCTTTTTAGGTGCTTTTTAGGTGCTAATTAGGGCCTCTAATTAAAAATTAGGTGCTCCTCTAGTTTTTGAGAAAATCAAAAAAGGTTTATGAAAGCTAGTAGTACCCTATAGTAAAAAATATTTTTCTTTGTATCAGATTTAGATGCTTTTTAGGTGCTCCTAAATAGTCGAAGAGAAAATTAAAGCGATTGATTATTAACTGAGTTACGGATTTTTTTTTCATTATTAGGGGACTGCTGGATTTACGTTTACTAGTGGTGTGACAGAATGGGAAAAAAACTTCGAAATCTTTATAATAATTAGTTGCTTATCAGGGCCTCTAATCAAAAATTAGGTGCTCCTTTAGTTTTTGATTTCCTCAAAAACTTATTATTAATTAATTGATTCAAGTTCAAAGCTAATAATTTAAAAAAAAATCTCTAACTCAGTTAATAATTAATCAATTCTATTTTTTCTTCGACTATTTAAGAGCACCTAAAAAGCACCTAATTCTGATACAAAAGAAAATTTTGGACAAATATTTTTCACTATAGGGAACTACTAGCTTTCATAAACCTAGCAATCCCTTAGTTTTTTTTTTTTTGATTTTCTCAAAAACTAGAGGAGCACCTAATTTTTAATTAGAGGCCCTAATTAGCACCTTAAAAGCACCTGATTATTATATACAGTGCCCGCGGAAAAGTCTGCACCATATGGGAAATTTTTTTATGCTCATCCTTACTTCAAATCGGTTTTTGGCATTAGGTTCTGCATGACTGAAAACCAAAAAAACACCCAAAATTTTTGACTCGAGATTTGCCTCACACCTGTCAAATGCCATTTTAAAATTTCAAACAAGGAAAAGTGGCATTTTTATAAAAAATATGAAAAAATTTTATAAGAAAATATTGTTTCAAATGACATTTAGAGTCTAATTTTATATTTTTGCTTCGAAATTTCAATTTGAGAAATCTAAAATTTTTAAAATAGTCCAGAGGCGTATCAAAATTTTAATAGAAATATTTCTTTTTGATGTTTTAAACTCTTAATTAGATTATTGAGATTTAAAAAACCATTAGTCAGATACAAATTAATTATTTTTGAGGAATGGTCGCGAAAGAAATACTAAAAATATTATTTTTCCGTAGATATTCGAAATTTTTTTTTAAAAAAAATATACTTTTTGCAACAACTGTCAAAAAATGGTGATGTTCGCACACTCATGACAGTTTGCGAAGTGACACTTTTTTTCCCAGGTATTGATTTTTTAACGTTCCCATGACGCCGTGCGCGAACTAGCTATTTCGTACACTGGTGCGCGAAATAGCTAGTTCGCACACTGATATGTCATAGTAACACATACCTGTCAGGAAACCAAAAATAATTAAAATTCACCTACCTTTAAGTGAAAATGCAATTTTGCCTTCGAATGATCGATATTTAAATGCGGTTGTAGAAAAAATATTGTTTGCAACTCGGGCGCGAAAACTTTGGTGATCTCGACTATTTTTTTAACTCGGCTGCGCCTCGTTAAAAAAATCAGATCTCGATCACCAAAGTAGCATTTCGCGCCCTAGATACAAAAATAACTATTTTTTCAAAGCAAAAATAACAAATTAGACTCTAAATGTCATCTGGAACAATATTTTCTTATTTTCAAATGGCATTTGACAGGTGTGAGGCAAGTCTCGAGTCAGAAATTTTAGGTGTTTTTTTGATTTTCAGTCATGCAGAGCCTAATGCCGAAAATCGATTTGAAGTAAGGATGAGCATAAAAAAATTTCCCATATGGTGTAGACTTTTCCGCGGGATCTGTAGATCCCGAAGTTTTTTTGCCATTCTGACACACCAACGAGTAAACGTAAAGCTAGCAGTCCCAATTAAAGAAAAATCTGTAACTCAGTTAATAAATAATCAATTCAATTTTTTCTTCAACTATTTAAGAGCACCTAAAAAGCACCTAATTCTGATACAAAAGAAAATTTTGGAAAAATATTTTTCACTATAGGGAACTACTAGCTTTCATAAACCTAGCAATCCCTTAGTTTTTTTTTGATTTTCTCAAAAACTAGAGGAGCACCTAATTTTTAATTAGAGGCCCTAATTAGCACCTAAAAAGCACCTGATTATTATATAGATCCCGAATTTTTTTTGCCATTCTGACACCAACGAGTAAACGTAAAGCTAGCAGTCCCCTAATAATTAAAGAAAAACCTGTAACTCAGTTAATAATTAATCAATTAAATTTTTTCTTTGACTATTTAAGAGCACCTAAAAAGCACCTAATTCTGATACAAAAGAAATTTTTGGAAAAATATTTTTCACTATAGGGGACTGCTAGATTTCATAAACCTAGCAATCCGTTAGTTTTTTTTTTTTTTGATTTTCTCAAAAACTAGAGGAGGACCTAATTTTTAATTAAAAGCCCTAATTAGCACCTAAAAAGCACCTAATTATTATATAGATCCCGAAGTTTTTTTCCATTCTGACACACCAACAAACGAAAAGCTAACAGTCCTCTAATAATTAAAAAAAAATCTGTATCTCAGTTACTAATTAATCAATTCTATTTTTTCTTCGACTATTTAGGAGCACCTAAAAAGCACCTAATTCTGATACAAAAGAAAATTTTGGAAAAATATTTTTCACTATAGGGGACTACAGTAGTGTCGCGATAATCCGGATCAATTAAAACCAGACCAATCCGGATTATCAAATTATTCGGATTACTAAGGCATTTTACAGTCCGCTTTTAAAACTATTATGAAATAATAACATGCTGTATTTAAGCAGAAAAATATTTAATAAAATATTTATTTGAGAAACAAGACCGCGCGTTTCAGCTCGTCTATAATCGCTGACTTTTCGTTGAAACTTAAGGGCCCCACACACTTAGGTTTTGGTCATTTGGAACGACGTGTTTCAATTGTTTCATCGTGGCGATGAAAACCGACGAGAAAGAACGTAGTGTATGGGGCCCTTTATAGGTGCCATTTTCTTTGAAAAAGCCCACACAGTCAGGAAGGACGCTGCGTATTGAATGATGCGTGCGTATTGAATGATGCGTGTAGACATGTAAAAACTACGTATCCAGTTGAACACAGTTACAAAACGACAAGTGAAAACCTGTGCTTTTATTTTCAAGAGTCATGTAAATGAATTCGGATTACTGAATCAAGTGAAATCCGGATTACAGAGTACATCAAGGGAACCAAAAGGCGATACGGATTACAGAAGCATACAGATTACCGCGTACTAGATTTCATAAACCTAGCAATCCCTTAGTTTTTTTTTGATTTTCTCAAAAACTAGAGGAGCACCTTATTTTTAATTAGAGGAACTGATTAGCACCTAAAAAGCACCTAATTATTATATATTTCCCAAAGTTTTTTTTCCACCTTGGGACTGGTGGGTTTATAGACCTCACATAAAAAAAATTGAAATTTGACCATTTTGGAAGGAAGCAGATTTCCCTTTTTGGACTTGAATTTTTGATATATTTACAATATATAGCCTTTTGAATGAACAAAAAACCATATTTTAACTAGGTATATAACAAGGACCAAATTTAAATTTCATCCAAGTAAGTAGTAGAATAACACTTATGATTAAAATGTGGGAAACATTGGGTTAACTTATCCAAGATAAAAATTAAAAATAAAAAAAACATAGGAAAAATAGAAATCAATAATAAAATTATCACCAACCTCACAGATATAGCCGAAAATCTAAATATATATTTTGTCAACAGCATAGAAAACACAATTTCACATATAGACAAGGGTGATAAGAACTCTATCCCCACTCCAACGTCTCAATGTAATGGCTGTTTCACCTCTTTTCGGTTGATAGATTTCAATAAGTTGAACCGCATTGTCTATTACCTGGATAATAGAAAACAAAATTTAGGAGCAATATATCAACAACAAAAACAAGCCAGTACTTTTGGTCCAATACTGTTCTTGTTGTATATTAATGAAATTCATTCGGTGATTCAAAATTGCTCTATACGCTTGTTTTCCGATGAGACATTAATCTATTTTTTTTTCTCAAAAGGCCTAGTTAGCATGATGCATACAAAAAATCAGGATCTTCAGCAAATTCAGTAATGGTTCAATGATAATATGCTTAAGCTGTTGGAAAAACGAAATTCATCATGATTGGAGGTAACAGCCCCGATAACAGCATTCAGCGTGAATATAATCAGTATGATTTGAAGATAGAAATAAGTAGGTACTGAGCGTGTAGAGGTGGTTCAGAAGATCAAGTATTTGGGGTATATTATTATAATTATGACAAAATGTCAATTTTCTGTCCAGAGTGTCCTCGTCATTATCTAAATGGACCAAAATTACAATATATGACACCCTGATCTTACCTCATTTTGTGTATAGTGCAACAATACTATTCACTGCCAACAAAAATGATATGAATCGCTTGCAAAAGTTGCAAAATGGGTATAATATTGAAGAAAAGAAGAGACACTCCTATAGTTGACTTGCTGAAAAGGTTTGATTGGCTATCTATCGAAGGGTTTGCTTAAGTATCAATGATATTTATCTATAAAATAAAAGATGGAATTACATCTGACTATTTGACAAATAAATTGATCACCATTGATTGGGACATTCACAACTATGCAACTACATAGAAATAGAGACAATTTTTATGTTGCAAGAAAAAATAAATCGCTTTCTGAGAAAGCAGTATACCATAAGGGGTTAATAATTTTCAATGTGGTGCCCAATGACATAAAGAACTTGCCAACCAAGAATGATGCAAATGAAAAGATATGTCATGTCCTGTTATATTGTACTTCCTTAGTTCAGAATTGTTCAATGATTTTTACATTGTAAGGAAGTGGCATTAGTAGGTGAACCAATTATTATATCTTATGTGGGTACCGATTGTATTGTTGTATTAGGTATCATATCAAATTTTTTGTATTGAATTAGATGAAGTCTAAATTAAGTAAGTGATTATAATATTCTAAGTAACACCATAAAAAAAAAAACAAGCAATTTCTTACCTGAATAAGTTTTTTTTTAAACAAATAAAACTGATCATCCAAAACAGTCCCGGGAGTTTTTGCCACAGCAACCAAACATTGCAGAGTATCACTATTGAACAACATCAGTAAGGACTTCCTCTCTTCAATTTTCCCTTTCCTGTTAACAATTTGTGATAGACATTCAGCTGCTGAATACTGAAAAGCGCTGTCATTTAACAACAAACATAAAATTTGCAACAGGCGCCCATTTTGGGCCATTATATGAGACATAGAGACCCATTCCACAAAACCTGTTAGAGTTAATAAAACTACTTGGACAACTCTAGTGTGAGCCGCCACTTTTGGATCATTCAGCTCAGTTAGAGCTCTTAGTCTAGTGACGTGTTGCTCTATAAGTCTTAGAAAAAATTCAAATATTAGTGCCATATTTGCTGTGAGGGCGTGATAAATGTCTTTACGTCGTTGATTTGATTCTAGAGTCTAAAAAAAATACACCATAAGTAATCTAATGGTCTAATAAAACTAATTCTTACTTGTAACAAGGCAACATCTTCAACTAATCTTAAAAAAACAAACAAAACAAGTTCAGTTTGTGTTTCTCCACGGGCACAAGCCTCTGACAGTTCGTTTAAAAGACTGGGCCATTGCTGGGGCCACTCTCTTTTCACCATTTCAACCACTACCCTACTTAAAGCGTCTTTCATGTGAGGCTCCTCACTTATACCACCTGCCGCAAGCAACTTCATCGAATTCTCCTTAATAAAAATCTTCTCTTGCTGACTAATTTGGGTCCAGCGATATTTAACAGTGTGTTCCATCAATTGCAAGCCAAAATGTCTGGAATTGAGTGAGTTTTGAGTGGAAGCGGCCAAATACAAACCAGCTTCGGCACACAACGGGGACGTTTCCTTGAAGCTCTCGCAAGCTTGATAGGCCTTCAGTCTGTCCGCGTGAGAGGCGTTGGGGCTCATCGTTAGTTCGACCGCCCTCGCCAAATCGGCGGCCAGCGCTGCCACGTCCGTATTTGCCATGTTTAATTTAATAAACAACCCCTACGAAAATCAAAACAACAATATTGCATGGCATGGCATCAGAAAAAAGTAAGGTTTTTTTTTTGTTTTTAATTGAAATTTATAAATGGAATAATTGTTCTTTAGGGGTTTATTTAATTTGTCGAGACTCACTTTTGTTAATTTAGTTAATCCATGGTTTTTCCTTGATTATTATAAAATGTGCCTCTGAATTTAATTGATAAATTTTTCTATTCGCCGACTTTGACAGTTTTTTTTTCGGATTTTAGGAGCCCTCCGCTAATGTGCCGCCATCTAGTGGCGAAACGTTCAATTGCACATAATCCACTTCATCCTTTTTTTTTTAGGAATCTGTAATGCTAATTTAAAAGGAATTGCAAAGCGAGAGATCCTTCAAGAAAAATACTAACGATATCATAATATAACGAAAACTATAGGAACTTGAACAAAATACAGCAAATAAAAGGGTTAGATCAGTGATGTGCCTGTAGACAATGTCAACGTCAGAGATAAATACTATAGGCGATTTTCAGCCTGGAATGATTATTATTTGGTTATAACCAATGCATTTCCGCCGTCGCGGTTTTAACCAAAGTAGGGGAAGTTGTGACGTCACATATCAGCTGATTTTCTTTTGGTATTTACCACTTATAACCGATTATAACCCAGCTTTGGACTTGGGTTAATCTTTTGGTTACAGCTTTTTGATGTTATTGTTATTATTTTTGGAATTTGTATTGGTGTTTTGTGATTTTGCAGTTGCGTTGTAGCCTGGCACAATGAAAGAAAGTATAGATTCACTCACTCACTGCAATTCACCATGTTTAGATCGAGGTTTAGATCATCCCCAAAGAAAATCTGTTCGATAAACGAGAGTAACGAGAGATTCAGCTCCATTTTTTGTACCTAAACAAAAAAATTATTGTTGAAACGAAAAAACAAATAAGAATAATAAACATAATCCTACACTGCTATAACCAATGGTGGGGGGCTATGACGTCACACTTGGCTGTCAAAGTTGTCAACCAAAATAATAACCACGGTATTTACCGATAAATAATCATTCCAGGCTGAAAATCGCCTTATATAGGGCACTTTCCAAAATTCACCGGTTTCTGAACCGGTGCGATACCGGTTTAATAGTTTACTCACCAAACCGTTCCAAAATGTGCCGACTTTTTACCGGTTGAACCCGATCATTCGTTCCAAAATTGAGCGGAATGATCAGCTGTTTAAAACCGGTGAGGCACCGAATCATCTGGGAATTTTTGTCGGTTTTTTCGGTTGAAGGTTTATTGACACTTTTTTTTTGACGTACAATAATTTAATTGCTTCGAATGGGCACTATTGGCAGTCTATTGTTAAATTGCTGCTTGCAGATGGCAGAATAAAAAAATGTTTGTGCGTGGGCGTCATTATGAAATCGACAAACCAAATACTCAGCTCACATAATCTACAAAAATCGTACTGAAAACTACCGTTTGTTGACTGTTAAAAATAATAAAAATACATACCAACCTCACTATGCATCCCACAAAAAAATCCATTCCAAAAAATAATAAGCAACACCACCAAACTTTGACACCAAAGCGTTCCAAAATGCACCAGAGAGATCTTGTAACCGGACTTGCATCTGACTTTTACCGGAATTTTTGGACAGCTACCGGTTTATTTAACCGGTCAATTTATCGGTGAATTTTGGAAAGTGCCCATAAACTGTCGTGAATGGAATCTCACCTTGCGTTCGGTATTTTGCTCAAAGAGCAGAGCGTGCTGAGCGGAGTCGTGATCACGTGACCAGTGAGCGATCAGAGCAGTTGAGCGCTGTATAAAAGTGCCAGAAATATTAATAAACGAACGCGAATGAGACTGCACCGAGTACACTTTTTAAATAAACGAACGGTAAAATCAAGCTCGGAGAACTCGGACCAAAATAACGAACGCAGGGTCAGTGTAAATTTTGTTGTCAACAAAATTGAGCTAGTGGTGGAGAACTATCGATGGCACTATCGATAACTATCGATGGCACTATCGATAACTATCGATAGTATTGACTATCGAAATATATCGATAATTTTTTTCAACCATCGATAGTTTTCGATAGTTGGCTGTAACGCCCATTAATAAGCGAAAGTTAGGTTAGATGCACAAAACTGAACTGCAAAAACAAGAATCCTAAACTACTTACGATTGCTCATCTTCATAAGACGTAAGTTTGCCAGTTCTTGAATGGGCAAGGCTTGCGATTGACGTCACAATTATCAGTACCTTATAGCGGTGACGTCACCCGCAGGCCTCGATGGGATGCTTGCAATTCAGGCTGTGCTTTTGAGTTATTTTTTTTTTTGTCGATTTTAATGTAGAAAAGCCGATTTTAAAAATGGAAATTTTAAAAGCAATCTAAAAAGACTTTCACCGTGGTGCGTGGTGCCATTATTTCTGACAAAAGTTCTTGAAGAACGTTGAAATAATCGATACCTAATAATAATGATTTTTATACAAAAATTCTAGGCTTTCAGAAAGGATATTTTCATTCTCGGAAAAAAGTATGTTCTCCGCAAATGCTAGATATTGATGTTTAAAGATCATTAAACTATTTCCTAGAATCATATTTTTAGTACGCCAAAAAGAAAATAAGGTTTTTGTCTATCTATCTATCTATCCTTTGCTAACTAATGTAATTTACATTCATATGACGTACAGTACAGATATCTTTAATATTTCCTTATAACTTGTAACTAATTACTATCGAAAACTATCAATATTAATCGATAGTCAAGGTCCCGACTATCGATAAATATCGATGGTCGGGACTATCGATAGTTCTCCACCTCTAAATTGAGCCAAGCCAGCGCCATCTACCATATCGGAAAATCACTATTTACTGGTTTTGCATCGATGCTACAGACACCTACTTTACATAAGAGTTTCTTCTATGATAGATAACGCCCTGTTCGCATTACTGTCGGTCTGTTCAAATTCGTTTATTCTAGACTTTGGGACATTAATGTTTGCTTAAATTAATTGATAATTTGTTAGTTAGATCAAAAGACAGTTTCTTTATCGATGGTTAAGGGCAACACAAAGAAAGATGAAATGCAAGACCGGCGAACAAAAAACAATAAACATTATGAATTATTAGTTATGAAAATGAATATTTTGGCATATTGTCATATGTTGACATGTCAGTTATCGACATCGGAGGTAGATGTGCCGGAGTGCGTTCAAAGACGGCAATGCTAATGCCAAAACCTACTATTCCCCTTCTACCGGCGATGCCAAATCTGGTGTGAATTCGCTGGAACGCCAAATACCGTTTCTCAATAAGCAATCCAAACCACGTGACATTCAATATGGCGTGGCGACCATACATGGACCAAAAAACACAAAAAATATCTAGTTTCTGCCCGACTAATAGTTTAGGTAATTAGTTAACAAATATTTTATTGAATAATAAAAATCGAAGCTGCAAACAAACAAAATAATTGAAATATGCATGAAAACACATAATCAAAACTAACTTGCTGGTCGCCACGCCATATTGAATTTGGTCTCATCCAATCAAAATTCGTATAACCATTTCTAGACTCAGTTGAAAGAGCCTCCAAATGTTACTTTACCGCGGCCGATTTGGAACGTGTAAAGCCAACCGTTTTTGGTACGCTGGAGCCGAACTTGAACGCAATATGCCAATTTTGGCTCGGCTTAAGCCGTTTTTGAACGCAGCCCTGGTATTTTACAATTTTGACAATTCTGTGGTTGTCAGCGACATCTAGAAATACGGAAAAGAGTTATTATGTGGTTTATAACTGGCAATGAGAGATCGCAGGTCCTGGTCAACGTAAACAATTGATTGTCTACGCGTAGACAATTCGAATTGTTTACGTGGGCATTTGTCTACACATTGTCTACATGTGGCGTAAACAATAAACTCATTTTAGAAAATTTAAAAAAAAGATCCAAAATTACTACTACCTAAGTAGCTAATACCTATCACTTTGATATCAGCATTCACTGATTATAAATATGAGGAAAACCGATGATAAAATAAAAATAATTTTCGGAAAGGAAAGTGTGAGGTTAGAATTAGACGTCATTTATATTATTTTACATTGTTGACACGTTGTCTACATTGTCTACAATTGTCTACACGTAAAGTAGACAATGAAAGTCTACGTGTAGACGCACATCCCTGGGTTAGATAATTTGTGTCAAACAGATTTGGCTGAAATTATAGTAATAATCGACCTACCTACTCTGACGTCTCTGTCCTGCAAGGATATTGCACACTACACAGGTTAAGCCCAAGCCTAGTACTCATAACTGCGAAATTCGCATTTTTTTGACATTGCGTTGACAATTTGACGTTTGATACACGCATAAAACGTCAAATTTCGCAGTTATGAGTACTAGGCTTTAGTCTATCCCCATAAGACTGTATAGTTCAAAATTCAAATAAATCAAATCTCAAACCCCCACCGCGCAGCATGTCGTTTTTCGGCTTGACGTAGGATGTTTGCATCACTGTAGTTTGCACCACAGGGTATTTCACTGGCTTTTGCTTTATGCATACTTGGTTTCAGTAAATTATTTACCATTCTAAAACAACCCTTTTTTTGGATCTCGTTTCATTCCTCTTTGCCTATTATGTCAATGAAGATTAAATAATATTTTCTCGATTTTCAGATAATCAAGAGCCGGTAATAATTCAAATTTTTGATTATTTGCGGCTTTCGATCCATTGGATAATTTTTCTTGAGCCAATTAGAAAGCCGCGGAAAAAGAAATTTTGATTAATATCAACTTAAGAGCTGCTAATGAATGAGCATTCGAAATATTAATTATTATCGACTGAACTTTGGATCCCTTAGAAAAATTCTCTAGCGAATCCAGAGTTGGTAAAAGTTCAAATTTTTACTATAACCGGCTATTTTTTTGCAAGAATCAAGTGCAGGTAAAAGTTCAAATTTTGATTATCTAGAACTTTTTTCACGTGGCTCCGGTTTAACAAACCGCAACATACCGCTCACATTCGAGTGGTAGGCATCCATCACGTCACTTTAACCGCTTTCCAGCTGTGTGCTTCAAGCAAGGTGCAGAAAGTGTTCTGTGTTGGAAACGCAAAAGTTAGCAGCTCTCGATGCGCAGTACGGCTGAAACACGAAAATGCGCTTGAGGCATTTGCGTGCGCAAAAGCTCGATTGCGTGCTCAAAATGGTCAGCTGGAAAGCGGCTTTTCTAACCGGATTAGAAAACGGTATGTCATATCTCTAACCGTTTTGTAACCCGGTTAGTTTAAACCGGAGCCACGTGCACGTGATAAGAACTTATGAGTTCTTTATCAATTGGATAAATTTTTTGGGGCAATAGATGTAAATTCTAAAGTAGAACCGCTGGCGCAAACTACTAACGACACCGTTGATGACGTCGACAACAGTGCAACACCATATGACCTTGATTCCAAAAATAAAGGCCGACGAGCAATCTCGTTAGTCCTGTGTAATTAATATCCTTGACTGTACTAAGGGCGAGTTCAGAAACTGTCTGACTCGTCAGTTGATCCGTGCCTCTTCATCTAGAAACGCAAAGAACAACGATAAAAAGATCAGAAATATCTATCCAAATCCGCCTCAGTGTACACAAGACAAGAACATAATACATGTGGCGTGCTTCCAGATCTCTCGTTACGCTCAAAATGTACCTTCCAGTGACGTGTGAAACAAAATTTTCACGGTGAATGTTGGCAAAGGCCTCAGGCTAGAACGAGAGTCGTCCGTTATCCCTATTGCTATCGCACTCTCTTTTTTTGAAATCAATGGAGAGGGGGCGCCAAATAGACTCAATAGAGATAGAGGAAATCTTTAATTGAGAAAATCTCTATTCGTTTTGGTGCTGAGTTCGGTTTTTGTCAACAATACACTTTACTGAGGATTGTTTATCGGCTTCGTTTTTGGGCGAGGTTCCTGAGGTTGTTTGGTAATGGGTAACTTGATGACGCATCTGGGGTGCCCTATATGGAGGTGCTTTATAGAAATTTACATTATGTTGAGGCACCTTAGATGACGTCATAAAGGCATATGGCAACCCACCTCTCTTAGCACCATTGATAACGTCATCAACTACCATTGTCAGCTGTTTGTGCCAGCGGTCGTGGTTTAGAATATACATTTATGATGAAAAATATTATTTAATTTTGGTTAAATATAATAGGCTTTGAGGAGGAGATATAAAAAAAGTTTTTTTAGAATGTTAATTAATGCACTAAAACCAATAGTATGCATGCATAAAGCCAAATACCGTGGAATCATAACCTGTGGTGTAACCACTCTACGTCATGGCAAAAAACGACACGGTCTCTACGTCATCACTGGTTCTTTGGCATGGTGGGGTGCTTGAGATTTGATCTATACAGGCCTTATGAGGATAAGCTTTCCTGTAGAAGTAGTGTGTATTATCCTTGGGTTTCAGACACTATTGAAGACCTTGCATTTTTCGAATTATATTTTATTTTAATAAAATAATACTTGATATTAGGCTCGGATGCCTTCTGGACTTTTTGCTTACGTTTCGGTACCAAATCTGCTACCGTTGTCGAAGGTTGGGGGATGAAACACCTAAAAAATAAAAAAAAAGGCAGAAAATTGTTCGTGTTTTTCGTAAAGTTTGAGAATTCGGGTTTCAGTTATCAAGCATAAATTACAATGCTGTGTAGTTCAAATTGATTTGAATGGAAAAAGTAGGTTCAATTCGATAACTGTCAACTGTGACTTGTCAGTTGTTCGTTTGGTGTAGAAAGCTCTCTTTTTTTTATATCTGATCTCACTGAACCGGCAATATTTTTAGTTCACTTCTTGTGATGTAGAGTGTATTTAGATCATTTTTTTGTTGGTGGAGGTAAACTGATCCAACTGCAACTACAATCGAACACTTCACTTAAATTGAACCAGATCGATCTAATCTGATCAATCGAATGCAGGGTTGCGTTTAGAAATAGCACTCTGGGTGTGAGAGTGACCTTAGATGAGTAACTCTAAACCGTTCATAAATTAATAGGTGCTTACTCAGAGTGTTACGCTGGAATCGTTCAAAAATCAAGAGTTGACTAGTCCAGAGTGCGCCCAAATTACCCCACTCAAGTTCTGGGTTGAAAAACACCTAGGGCCGGTATTTTCATTCTCGAAAACGCTCACCGCTTTTAAGTAGCTCGGCACTTCTAATATATGTATATTCAAATGAGAAGTGCCGAGCGACTAAAAAGCGGTGAGCGTTTTCGAAAACGAGAATACCGGCCCAGGGGCGAGTTCAGGAATGATACAGATACACCCAGTGTGAGTGTGACACCGGTGCGACGCCCTAGCTGTTCAAAAATGGTAGACGGTGCTATGGGCCCAATGGCCAATTGTCAAATCAGGCACTCGCACCCGTGCGTTATTTCTGAACTCGGCCCTGGAGTGCGTTCAAACACGGCGATGCTAATGCCAAAAGCTCTAAGGCCAAAACCTACTATTCCCCTTCTGCCGGCGATGCCAAATCTGGTGTGAATTTGCTGGAACGCCAAATACCGTTTCTCAATATGCAATCCAAACACGTGATATTCAATATGGCGTGGAGACCATACATGGACCAAAAAACACAAAAAATATCTAGTTTCTTCCCGACTTAATAGTTTACGTACTAATTTAACAAATATTTTATTGAATAATCAAAATCGAACCTGCAAACAAACGAAATAATTGAAATATGCATGAAAACCCATATTCAAAACTAACTTGCTGGCCGCCACGCCATATTGAATTTGGTCTCATCCAATCAAAATTCGTATAACCATTTCTAGACTCAGATGAAAGAGCCTCCAAAAATTACTTTACCGCGGCCGATTTGGAACGTACGTGTAAAGCCAAGCGTTTTTGGCACACTGGACTTGAACTTGAACGCAATATGCCAATTTTAACTCGGCTGCCGTTTTTGAACGCAGTCCGAGGTTTTTACCGGGTTTGACGTTGACATTTAGCGCAACACCCCAATTACGTTCAGAAAAGACGCACCCAGAGTGTACTCCAAGTGATGACGTCAGAACACTCTGACAAACAACTACCCTACCTCCACACTCCATTCCTAAATGCACTCCAGCTCTGCATTGGTAGCGCGAAAACTAAACCGAAAATGACGTCACAATCGAAGAAATTCTACCGAATCGAACGGTTTGTTCCTTACAGAATAAGGCCCCTGGTATCGTCTATCGTCTATTTCTGCACAAGTTTGTTGAGCTTGACATGATGTACCGGCGCACTCCCTATGATGTCACGTTATTTGCCTTACGTTCGTTATTTTGCTCAAAGAGTAGAGCATGTTGAACGGAGCCGTAATCACGTGACCAGCAAGTGAACAGAGCAGCTGAACGCTGTATCAGAGTGCCAGAAATTTTAATAAATGAACGCGAATGAACCTGCACCGAGTACACTTTTTAAATAAACGAACGGTAAATTCAAGCTCGGAGAACTCAGATCAAAATACGGAACGCACGGTTCATCGCTTTATCTAACGTCAACCCAAACGCAGTCACCCAAAGTGCATCATGTCAAGCCAAATAAACTCGTATAAAAGTACGATAGACGATACTTGGTGCGTACGATAAGTCCGAACTACTGACACTTTTTACCCTGACATTGATGTCGCACTTTTTACACCATTCGTACTGTGCAGTGTTCCATTTTTCCCGTGTAGTTTGATGGTTGCGTTCCAAAACATAACTGCACCGCACTAACGCTAACCGGTTCAGACAAATCGTACGCACCAACTATCGAGGCTTCGGAATCCGGGCCCTGATACGTCGTTCGTTGACGAATTTATAAACTATTAACTGAAAACCACAATCTTGCACTAATTATAAATGAAAACACCTATTTTTAAACACGGTCGGCTAGATAGCGCTAGATGTCATATTCAAAACCACAGCTACAAAAACATTTTCTCTGCTAGGATTTAGCTAATTATTTTATTTATATTGTGACTAAAACAAAAGCTACAATATGTATTCTACATTCTACAATGAAATTACATATATAAGTATAATTTTTTTTGTAGCTGATATGCTTTGCGCATGTCTGAGTTTCAACCCAAGTAGGCTTTGTAAATCCCCACTGACGGCAATCTTGTCGACACAAGTTCATATCGTGTGTGCCACGCGTTGCGTTTCTCCTCGGTTTTTCGGAAAATTTTGTAGTTTTTCGGGCGATTTTGATGCGGAAAAGTGTTTAAAAGTGTTCGTCGGGCTGTTTCGCGTCTGATTCACACACTGGACACAAAACAATGAAAAAAATTATGCATTTATGGACTTATGAACTTTGTGTGTTGCTGGGGCCATGTAAATCGCAAGGTAGGCAGTTTTTTGGTATCATTTCGTTGAAAACAATTAATTTTGCATGAAAATACACTTAGTTTTATTAAAATAATACCTATTTATTGAAACAATAAATTTTTAAAAGGAAAATTTGGCCACATATACAGTAGTAGTAGTTTGCAACTTTTCGGATAGATGGGGCCACTTTTACAGGCAATTTATTCCTCTTTCTATTCAACTAAAGTATCATGTTAAGTTGGTAGGTAGAAGCCAATAATTGAAACCATGCGAGTATTTAGTTAAATATTTCATTTATATTTATTCTACAATAAACATTTTATTACAATATTTCTTCTTGTTGGCCTGCTTTGCGCATGCCTGAGTTTCACCAAGTAGGCTTTGGAAATCCCCCAACGGGCAACCATCTTGTTGACACAAGTTTATATCGTGTGTGCGTTTCTGCTCGGTTTCTTCGCAAAAATTTGTAGTTTTTCGAGTGATTTCAATGTGAAAAAGTGTTTTAAAATGTTGCATGGGGAGTTTTACGTTCGGTTGGTACAATAGGCATAAAAAAACTTGGAAAATTACTTGCTTTTGGGCTTATTAACTTTGTGTGCTGCTGGGGCAATTGTAAATCGCAAGGTAGGCACTTTTTCATTGAAACTATACTTATTTTTGAAATGAAATGAAGTGAAACTTCTTCACGCATTGTAGGGAAAATTCGTTTCATTTGAGTTTCTATGTAACAAAAACATGCAACACTAGGCCACCAAGTCGAATTATCAGTGGAGATTGTTTGAGCCATGAGCGCGTTTCAATGCAATTACCATTAAACTTTTTTTTAACCTGTTTTCTTGTATGTTTGAAGAAGTTTCACTTTCCAAAAAGTCTCTGTAAAACAAATTAAATCCTAATGTAATAGAGCTTTTAAAAGTCCCTGGAAAATCAGGCCTATGATGTATCATTTTTTGTTATTTCAACAGCAATGTTAAGTTATCTGTCACTGTTTATTCTATACGTAAAAATAGAGACAGGTATAGATTTTGAGCTATAACACAACTGTTAAAATAACAGGACAGGATAGATCATAGGCCTGATTGTCTTTAAATTTGGATTAAAAAATGAAGTTCAAAAAGTTTCTAAAGACAATAATTTGCTGAATTACATCACGGACTTAAGATTCTGTCTGAGCACAAGCCTAGGAAAGGTTGTATTAATTATTATTAACCAATTTTTTTGAAACCAGTTTCTATTTATACATTTATATTTTACATCACAAATCACCTTAGAAGGTAATCCAGGGTGTTCTTAAATCAATTTTTAACATAAACATCCTTTAGAAAAATAAAACAATATTCTAAAAATAAGTTAATAAACCACATAATCATGTATTATGCCTCTTTATCGCTTTCCTAATCAGTGTCCAGTCTTCCATAATATCCTGCGGCTTTAACATATAAACAATATAGGGTCCAGAAACTGTTACAGCTTTTTTCCTGGATGTTGTTTTGGTGGTCTTGCTGCTCCATTCTCCGCCTTCGCCCCAAGTGATTTCGCTGTTTTGTTTGTCTTCTTCCAGCTTCCTAATGGTGTCCATCAGTTCGCTATAGTAATAATCACTTGCCAGGTTCTTCTCGCTTTCGAAATTCTGCAAAGCTGCCTGTTTTTCAGCCTCATACTGATTGTTAATGTTGTCAATACGCAGGTGACGCAAAACACCAGCCACCTCAGTCCTAACTCTACGTTGTTCTTCCAGATTTTGCAATGGGACAATGTAGTCAAGAGATTTGCCTGATTTCACTTCAGCCAATTGTGTTTCCACTTGCTGGATACGTTCCCTGTACAATTGTTCCCTCAACAGGCTGAACTGGCCTTCGAGATCTTGGACGTGTTGAATTAGTTCTGTACGGCGCGTTTCGCACTCGCCCACGTCCATATCCGAGCTGTCGTCCGAGTCGTTGGGCGAGTCCTCGGCCGAGGACTGATTCGGTTCATTTTCCGGACTTGAATTGGAATGTTCAGACTCGTTTGCCGAACACTCGTTGTCGCTCATTTCTTGCGGCGGAGGGTTTGCCAGTTTCATTAGAGGCATTTTGATGATTAATTTGAACGTTTTTTCATTGTTTTGTCGATTGGCAAGTGAGAAATTGATGTTTTTCAATAACTGTTGTATATAAACAAATAACAAATAATTTTTACACTGACAACTGATAGTTTTGGCATTGACTCATTGACATAGAGGAAGGCTTATCCCATCGATACGAATATCGATATATAGGGCGCTTTCTTTTATTCTCCCAGTGTACTGTACATTCGATGAATGGTCTATCTTTGTCTAGTTCATAGAAAATCGGAATGGCTGTCGCATAATGGTGAATTCCAGATGGAACATCGATAAATAAAAGGAAGCGCCCTTACATCGATACGATTGTCAAAAGTACTACTTTTACTTCACTAGCTGGGTTCGGTAATTGCATCTGCGAGTAAAAAAAGCAGATTTTGACGGTCGTCACGTGATGATTTATCTTGCTCCACTTGTCAAATCACGTGACATCTGTCAAATTTTGCTCATTTTGCTCGCAGATGCAATTACCGAATCCAGCCACTGTCACAGCACAACACAACCTCAATTTGTTTTTGATGTTTTGTTGTGGTTCGGAAAAACATTACAAAATTGGAATTCAAAAAATCAATAAACAAAAAAAATACAGATGAGTCAACCAGACTCAAATCTGGACCTGCAAGAGGCCGAAAACTCTTTGCAATCCCTCAGCATTGCCCAAGAAGGCGACACGCCCAGTTTAACCATAAATAAACAAAAAGGTAAATAAATAATTTAGGGCCAAATTATAGACTGACTGGTAAACGTCTGGTTGTTACCTAGCAGGTACTTTCTATGTACTAGAGAATATAAAGTACCTGCTAGGTACCAACCAGACACTTACCAGTTGGTCCATAATTTGGCCCTTATAGTCCAGGAGGTGGCGCCAAAAACATGCAAGAGTTTTCGCAAGGTGGATATTTTCAAAATAGGTCGTACTTTAGTGTTAGAATGCTAGTGTACAGTCAGCACTCACAGTTCCGGGACAGCTGGCTCTGGGACGCGGGCAAAGTTGTAATTTTAAGAAGCATCCAAACTGTTTTCTTAAAGCTCAAAATTTATAGAAATTTTGCACATTATCTGTTTGAAGTTCACAGATAACGTATGTAAATCGTCAGACGTCTAATTCGTTGCAAAAAGGGGGTCAGACGTCCTCAAAGTTTTTATTTTATGTCATTTTCTTCAAATATATTTGTCAAATACCTGCAAAAATATATTTTGACAGGACACCGAAGAAAATGCCATAAAATGAAAACTTTGAGGACGTCAGACCCCCTTTTTGCAACGAACTAGACGTCTGACGATTTACATGTTATCTGTGACCTTCAAACAGATAATGTGCAAAATTTCTATAAATTTTGAGCTTTGAGAAAACAGTTTGGATGCTTCTTAAAATTACAACTTTGCCCGCGTCCCAGAGCCAGCTGTCCCGGAACTGTGAGTACTGACTGTACACTAGCATTCTAACACTAAAGTACGACCTTTTTTGAAAATATCCGCTTTGCGAAAACTCTTGCATGTTTTTGACGCCAGCTCCCCAACTATTAGGGACTGGATGCTCGTCCGATAATCGGAATGATAGTGTTTTTGTTTCTATTCCGATGATCGAGCTACCAGTTTCTTTTGTTATTATTCCGCAATAGTATATTGTTGTATTAGGAGTAGAAGCTTTACTTTTTTGTGCTGAAGCAGTAGGTTTGCGAGCCGAACGTAGTGAGGCTTGCAATACTGCTGAAGCTGAAACATTGTATTGACACTATTGACATAGTATTTACCTGGTATTGACATATATTAACCAGTGATTTGTACACCGATTAACAAGGTGAAAAACCCCTCGCGTTAGAAACAAGGGAAAAGTTTCTTATAATGAAGTAGAATCCTACATAAAGACAAATGAAAAGCAGTTACTAATATCCCTATATAAAAGAGATGCTAAAAAATTGCAAAAAGTTGTCCCAAAAAATGCCAACAGGCTAAGGCAGAATTGGTATACTACCTATTAGAATATACTTGCCATCAAGGTGGTAAAAGATTTAAATCACTTAGCAAAGGCACGTGAAAAGCAAGGACAGTACCTATACATGATTATACAGTGAAAAAAAAAAAACTTCTTGAATCATAATATCAGTCAAAGATAATTGTATTTTTGGACGATGTGAAAGAAAAATTAGGGGAGAGCTGATTTTTTCAGGATTGTTTAAGAGGGGTGTCCTTAGTGTAAAAACACCGGTGTCAGAAAGTTTCCTCTTCCGCGCCCTTGCACCCTTTGGCTATAGGGGTTGTGTCTCAACATGGTGCTAAAATGAAATTTTCCTACGAGCGTGCGCAAAGTAGTACTTTTCCGCACGCATTACAGTTCTCAAAGTTTCGCTTTTCCGCACTCAGTGCGGATACGGGCCTTATCCGCACTGAGTGCCGAAAAGTAAAAATAATTGTCAAGCAACAATCAATGCACCTGTCGACTTTGACATATGATGACAAATTTGTTCTCTGTTTCTATATCAGCCAACATCTATACAAACACGAATATAATCTGACACATTGTCAGATTTGTGTTCCCATTTACATGCAAGAATCTACAAACTTCTTTCGCATCAAATTTAAACGCTTGAAGATGAACAGCTCTGACGAGGATTTCAATTTTCTGTTTTTCTGTTATGTAATTTTTTGATGAATGAATAGGTTCGCTTCAAGTTAATTGAAAATAATTGCACAAATTATCGTTTTTTTTTTTTAAATTTTTGTTGTTACCTACCTGATATGAAGCTCGTAGGAAAAATTTTGTTCCTAACACGTGCGCAAAGTGTCTTTTCCGCACGCAAACACTTATCCGAACTCCGCTTCGCGTCGTTCGTATAACTGTATTTGCGTGCGGAAAAGTAACACTTTGCGCACTTGTTAGGAAAATAACTATTTTGGTCTCTAATTAACCTGTCAAACTCCAACCACCACACCAACTACTTTTTTCTAAAAATATAGAAATGTTCGGAATAATATGAGTAAATGCTATTAGTCCGGAAATAATAAGTGAACATTTTGCGGAACAATAACAAAATAAACTAGTAACCCGATAATCGGAATAGAAACAAAAACACTATTAATCCGATTATCAGACGAGCTTCCAGTCTCAATAATTTAAAAACATAAATACGACAATAAAATTATGTTTTAAATTAAAGTTGATATTCTACTCAAACCTACTGGAAACGCTCCTATAATGAAAAAGAAAAAATGGACTGTGGACAGTGATAAACCCATTGGTTGGATCATCGAGTTTATGAAAAAGTATTTGAAAATTGAGAGTCAAGAGAAGCTTGTAAGTTGAGTTTATCATTGAGTCGTAATCAATAAACAATTATAAACATTTCCAGTTCCTCTATGTTAACCAAACTTTTGCTCCTTCTCCAGACCAAACTGTGAGGAATTTGTATGACTGCTACAGCACCGAGGGTAAACTAGTGCTTCATTATTGCAAAACACATGCATGGGGTTAATTATTATTTCTTTGTATACACATTTATTCATAAATAAAACTATATTAATCTCCAATAATAATTTCTTCAGGATCAGGCGCCCTAGGTAAAAATTCCAAATCAGGATACATTTTTTCAAATATCTCTCTAGCCTTTTGGATGCTTGAATTATAATCCAAGTCATTATCAGGACCTGGACACAAAAATAGATTTTCAGGCACATTTTCAAAATCCAAATCCGATGTTTCTGGAATGGAAAAGTAACAAGAAAATATGATTTGGGGCTGGTCTGAGCCTGAAAACAAATTCCCCAACGCACCCTTGAAGTCCTCTTGAGGAGTAGTTACTTGTTTTGATGTCAAATGCACTAAATCTACAAATAAATAAATTTATTACCATTACAATAAATTTATCTTTCTTACAATAATTTTTAGGGCAAGTTCCAGTTAAACTCCCCAACTCAAACACATTAATTATCCTTTCTGTACCCTCTGGATAAATTAAAAAACTCAATTGCTCCTGCTCACTGGGCAAAATCGATTTGTTTGTAATCAATATAGCCCTAGAAATATAATTATTAATTTTTACAGGCCTCAGAAATTTTTCTGAACACTGTTCCAGGCTTGTAACGTAATTTTGGGCACGAATTTGTTGCTTTGTGGTCGTTAGGGAGGTTATTCTGTTGTCTTCTGAGTCAAGTGAAATTAGGTTTTGTTGGTTTAGGGCGTAGATGCCTCCAAAAACTGCACTCAATCTGGAAAGGGATAATTTCTGAGCTGATTAATTAGAAGTTGTTCAGGGTTGACAAAAATTCGGCTATTTGTATTATACTGAAGAGAGAATTGGGTTTTAAATGTTTTTGGTGGATATTTGTGTTTTTGATATAATATGTATACCTAACATTTTCCAACAGAACACTACAGAAGTATCAAAGAGCGCTCAAGAAAATTTGGAAGATTCCTGCTAACTTCCAGAACTTTCCAGCACTTCAAAATCATTAGGAAACCATTTAAAAACTTTGGAAAGCATTTTAAAAATCTTCAGAATACGCTTGCGCCAAGAGAAATTTAGAATTTTGATAATTTTCAGAAGACTTTCAATTAAATTTTTAATCCTCCTACATTATTGTTTGAGACAAATTGGAATTTTTAATAACATTGTAAAATGTTAAATTACTGTAGATTTCGTCGAGCTCTACAACTTGCCGCTGACAGTTTGCCTCTAGGACTTACCGTTACGGAGCTATGACCGATTGAAGTTCCAATTTTCGTCACTTTCAGAATTTCCTTTGTTGTAGGGTAGGTATAAGGCCAAAAACCAAAGTCGGGATTTCAAGATAGCCATTTTGTAGAGGGGATTAGGGGATCCCAAAAAGACCCAAAACCAACTTTTTTTCCTTAATTTTCCGATTTTCCAGGACTTTTCCAGTTCTTTTTAAATAAAAAACACCTTTTTGTAAATTAATTTTTTTCTGGAAAACTATCCAAGAGAAAATTATAAAATTTTCTGGAGAGAAAGAAGAAAGTAGGGAGTTTATTTTAGCAAAATTTCAAAATTTTCCAATGGAAAATTGACTGGTTTAAGCAAAATTCACCCTCTTACATTTTAATTCTTTTCTGAAAAACTGGAAAAGGGAAAATTTTAAAATTTCTCCAGGAGAAAGAAGAAGGCGAGGAGCTCATTTCAGCAAAATTTGAAAATTTTCCAGTGAAAAATCACTTAAGGAAAAGTTCTGGAAAATTGACTTTTTTAAGCAAAATTAAGGAAAATTCATCCTCTCACATTTTAAGTTTTTTCTGGAAAACTGGCGCAGAGAGAATTATGAAATTTTCAGGAGAGAAAGAAGAAAGTTAGGAGCTCATTATAGAAAAATTTCAAGATTTTCCGGGGGAAAATCATTCCAGGAAAAATTCTAGAAAATTGACTTTTTTAACCAATATTAAGGAAAATTCACCCTCTTACATTTTATTTTTTTTCCAGAAAACTGAGAAAGGGAAAATTTTGGAATTGTTCCAGGAGAAAGAGGAAAGTGAGGAGATCATTATTGGAAAATTTTAAAATTTTCCAGTGAAAAATCACTCCAGTAAAAATCCTGGAAGATTGACTTGTTTAAGCAAAAGTAAGGAAAATTCACCCCCTTACATTTTAATTTTTTTCTGAAAAAGGGAAAATTTTAAAATTTTTCCAGTAGAAAGAAGAAGGTGAAAAGGTTATTATAATAAAATTTCAAAATTTTCCAGAAAAAAATCACTCCAGGAAAAATTCTGGAATCTGTCTCTAATAGAGACACTGAACTTTGATAAGTCTCAGAAGAGTTTCAATTCAATTTCCAATCCTCCTGCATTGGTTTGAGATAAATTGGAACTTGCAGGAACATTGTAAATGTAAAACGTTACAGAACACTTTAGAACTTCTTTAGAAACATTCTAGAAAGGACCAGAACACTTTTGGGAACATTTGAGAAAGCTTGAGATACCTTAAAGTTAAGGTTTTAATCCAAGTTAAAATTTCCAGGAGTATTTTGGAACGCTCTAGAGCACTTTGTAAATCATAGGGATCTTTTGGAAACAATCTAGAACTGGAAACTTTCAGAATATCTTGAAAATCGTTACATGACATTTTAAAACTTTCATCTCGACTTTCATGAACACATTAGAACCCTCTAAAACATGGTCAGACGTTAGAATTTCAATAAGAAGTAGGTAACAAAGAGTGCATAAGAAAATTTGAGAAATTTCTGATAGCTTCAATGGGTTTCAGAATTTTATTTCTAGTGATTCTCTCTCTGTAAAAGGAGTACACATGCTTGAAAAACGGTTTTACATTTGTCTTTAATTAAACATTTGGGAACTTCTAAGAGTTTGTGTGTCAAGTAGAATTTTTCTGTGGATACCTTAGTATTTGTGTTAATTCATATGGAAAAATCCATTCAAAAACCAAAGAGGATACAATTGTTTGCCAACCCTGAAATTATTTCTAACAAAAACTCAGAAAATCTCATCTTACCTACAAAAGGCTTGTGCGATCTCCCCACTTCCATACATAGAAAACAAATATGGAGTTTTTCCAAATCTGCCTAAACTATCCAAAAACCTTTTGACACTTTTCACTCCTTCTCCCAGGCTTGTGTGCTCAGTAGCCCCTGCCATGGCCATAACATAAGTTACCAAGTTATCTGATAGTTTACGGCTTTCTAAAAACTTTTTGAAATTATGAGTGTTTTCTGAGTCAAGGATGTCATCCAGTGAGGTTAAAAGCTTCATTAGAACTCGCTTTTCTACTACTGAGACTTTCTGAGAAGCAAAAACATCAGAGCGAGAGCAAGGGACAAGTTCTAGTTGGCCGTTGAGCCACGTCAATATTCGAGTGACACTTCTGAACTCAGAATACCTTGCAATATTTGATGTTATTAGCAATTGAACAAAATCTCCTCTACAATAATGCAACTTTGGGGTCAAATCTATGTTGAATTTCCTACTGTTTTTCAATAAGTCTTCCTTTTGATCCTCCATAAGCCATTCATAATGGAAATTTTTCAAGCTAAATGACTTATTTCTAAAATCACAAGGCTCTGAGGGATCAGGATTATAGTCTAGAAGGGCTTGGAGGTTGAAAGAGCCCCATTGGTTCCCGTAATAGTCGTTGGGGTCCAAATGGAGCACGGATTTGCCTATTCGGCTGGCTGCTGCCGAGATGATCGATTCAATAAAGCCTGAAAAATTGAGTTTAGAATTGATTTTTTGGTTGAAAAGGGTTCTTTTTACCTGTTCCAATGATTAGTAAATCGACTTCAGAGGGTAACTCGTCCATTTTATATTAATGGTACTTTGACTTTGTTTTGTTGATTTTCGCTAATAAATAATTAAATAAACATGAACAGCTGATTGTCAAATAAAAGAGTCAGCTGATTGTCAAAACCACAATTTATTACAGAAATCTGTAAAACACATAGGGATAAATAATTAATAGTCAAAGTTGTGTTGTAGAGGGCGCCTTTGTACTTGTAGCTTTTTAAATTGTGGTGTGTAAAATCATCGGGCTGTGTGCTACCATTGAGGGTAAAATCCCCCATCCCCCTAGGCCAAATCACCAGTTGTGACGTAGGCAGCATGTTATTTCCTTAGGCTGTTTAAACAGCTGAGGACTTATTATCCATTCAAAATCCGACGTCCACAGGTACAGGTAAAATTTATCACCTTTCAATGCTAGTTGATAGGGAAAGGTGATAAATTTACCTGTACCTGTGGACATCGGATTGTGAATAGGATATAGTTATGACGTCGAAAATGGCGACACACATGGTGTGTATCCTCCTTGCGGTGCACTGACTCTTTTTGATCTGTTCACTGTTTGAAATACTTTTTTCTAATAATTCTGTTCTATTTGCACTATTTCCATCTGCATTAAATTTTATAGTTGAATTCCTTCTATAGTTCGAGTTACTCTAAGTGTTCCAATAGCTTTAATTTATGTTCCCTCTGTACTAACTCTGTTCTGTTTGCACTGCTCTGATTGTTACTGTTCGAAATACGCTAGAGTAAAAATCAAACAAGAAGAAGCCATTGACGTCAGCGCTGACAAAGAAGGCAGATTTCCTTTTCTCTGGGTCCCTCCCATTTAAAGTGAGACAAGCGATAACGCGTGTGGCTTTTTCTCGTTTGGTTTTTACTCTAATAGGCTACTAAATAATAAATTTATTCACTATAACAGTAGGCTGATTTGAAATTTAGTTTTGAGTTTTTAGTGATTTTACTCTGACTGTTCCAAGTGTACTGACTTTTTCATCTGTTCAACTGTCCGAACTTTTTTGACTGTTTTAATTTTGTTCCATTTGCACTAACTCGTTTTAAATTACTCTAGAGTTATTCTAAGTGTTCCAATTGCTTTAATTTCTGCCCTAACTCTGTTCTGAGCCGCTTTCCAGTATGAGAGTGTGACGCCCGGAGCTACTCAGGGCGTTGACCTCCCGAGCTTTACGTACCCGTCAACCTGTCATTTGTCACATCCGTGGGTGGCTATTTATTTATTTGTTTCTTATTATATCTCGGGATCGAACATTTCCAAAATATAGTTTTGATTTTCTTCAATTTTCGATAAATAAAAAACAAACTGCACCAACAAACAGATAATTATTTTTAAAATTTGACATATTTGACACTAAGACAGGCGCCTCACGCCATGATACTGGAACGGTACAAATCTAGCGCGTGGCGCCCCCGGGGTGCCCTAGAGCGCGCCAGGGCGCGCCAATGTGCATACTGGAAAGCGGCTCTGTTGACACTGCACTGATTGTTATTGTTCGAATTACTCCATAATTCTAATAATCATTGAATTTATTTACTATAACAGTAAGCTGATTTGAAAATTAGTTTTGGGTTTTTAGTAATTCTACTCTGACTGTTCCAAGTGCACTGACTCTTTTTGATTCTGTTCAACTGTCCGAGCTACTTGGACTGTTCCATTTACACTCACTGGATTTAAATTATTCTAAGCTTAGAGCAGGTAAAGGTGAAGAGCAGTAGTAACATGGAGTTGGAAAATGAAGCCGTTTTTTTTTTTCAGGTATTTTGACACCAAAAAAAAAGGTATAGGCAATTTCAATGCTTCACCTGGTATTTGGTGCTTAAACAACTGTCAAAAACTTGGCTTCACTGTTTCATAGCAGAATAGCGCGTTCCTACTCCTTATGTCAGTAGGACAGAATTCCTTCTATTGTTCGAGCTATTCTAAGTGTTTCAATCGCTTTAATTTTTGTTCCATTCGCACTAACTCTGTTCTGTTTGAACTACTCTAATATGCTACTAAACAAGCAATGAATTTATTAAGTATGTCTGGAATTACAGAAGCTCTGCAACACCAAGATACAAATGCAGAACCTGCATGTCTGACTTTTCGTATTACAAAAGTAGAATGCATTTGCAAGTCGTCTGCAAATTTGCGTAAAGTGAATCGGTTCCATAAGTCCGACACTTACTTTGACAACTTTGACATTTATAACTAATAAATCAGTAGCGCCCAAACACTTTTTTTCAATAAATATAACGGAATTGCAGATTTTTTCTGTAATTTGCTTGTTCCTGCAAAAAGAGCGCATATGCAAGTCGGCCATATTTGCAGAACTCCAAATTTGCAGATGCAAATATACTGTGATTGGGCCCAGACAGTAGGCTGATTTGAAAATTAATTTTTGGTTTTTAGTAATTCTACTCGGACTGTTCTAAGTGCACGAACTCTTTTTGAACTGTTCAACTGTCCGAACTACTTTGACTGTTCTAATTCTGTTCCATTTGCACTAACTCGATTTAAATTATTCTAAGAATTCCATCTGCATTTATTCTATTTTAATTCCTTGTATTGTTCGAGTAAGTCTAAGTATTCCAATTGCTTTAATTTTTGCTCTATTTGCACTAAGTATGTTCTGTTTGCACCGCTCTGATTATTACTGTTCGAACTACTTTATTACGCTACTATTCAATGAAATTATTAACTAGCAGTAGGCTGATTTAAAATATAATTTGGAGCTTTCGGTATTTCTACTCTGACTGTTCCAAGTGCACTGACTCTTTTTGATATGATCAATTGTCCGAACTACTTTGACTGTTCTTATTCTGTTCCATTTGCACTAACTCGATTTAATTTACTCTAATTATTCATTTGCATTATTGGCATGTAATATTTAAAGTTGAATTGTAGAGGACACTTACTAAACTTTGGAGGTTGAAATTATCCTCGGTTATTCACATTTACTGTATTCCTTTTATATTTCGAGTTACACCGAACGTGGCGCTCTAGAGCTCCCCAGAGTCACTCCAAAACACACAGTTGAGATATTATCATTATTCTTCAATATTAACATTACCTGAAAGGGCTTCTTGCACCCCCTGTAAATTTGGTGCATCAGAGGGAAGGGAGATGCACTTTGAGCGACTCGAGTGTTTAACGCACTTTTAAAAGGAACGTTCAAGCTTTTGACATTGAGCAGCTCCGAGTAACTCAACGGCTAAAAGGAATACAGTAAATGAGGTAGAATAATAGTCTAATAATAGCTAGGTTCGGCTATTCTGCACGGATTTGGAGTGGAGTAAGAACAGATTTTTGTCACGTGATCTAGGAGTGATTGGAGTGAACTCCATTAACTTCACTCCGTATAGTCGAACGCTAATGGAGTCACCCCTAATACGCCAAAAAGCAATACCCGAACGGCTTTAGTGCGAATGGAGTCACTCGGAGTGCACGGAGTAAGCGAGCCGAACCCACCTAAAAATACCTCAATGGTTATTAACGCGCTACAATTTAAAAAGGTAGAGAAGCGCCCTCTACAACGCAACTGTCAATATTACATGCCATTGTTCTAAGAGCCGAATTTATAGTCGCTCCTTCCTTGAGGTTTCCTCGGAACTTAAGGGCGATGAAATCAAACGTTAGTTAAGTCCTTGTTAGAAAACAATAACCTCAGATTGTACCACACAAAAACAATATCATTGACATAACTAACTTGTCAAGTAGTAACAAGTGTCCATTCTAAACTCACGACCTCCAAGGAAGACTCAAGGAATGACTATAAATTCGGCCCTTAGTTATCAAGACTCAATTAAATCACAATTAATAAATAAAATTAGCTTAAATAAACTATAACTAATTATTGTAGATGCTTCGATCCAAAATTATTTGAAAAAGCATTAAAATTCACTTCAACATTGATAGATGGCGCTGGCATCAAAAACCAAAACAAGTTTGTCTTTAGCAAACCAATGACGTCACCGTCAGTACTATTTATCCAAATTCAAATCGTAATTTTCAACGTAACGCTCAAAACTGGGTGCTGAAACTGGTCTAAAATTGCTCTTCAGAGTTGGATTGAGGTAGGCGAGGGTGCGTTGTCTTCTTATTTGAGGCTGAAAGTCAAATTTCAATTCAAAATCTTATTTTTTGACGACAATAACTTACTACTTTACTACTTGTCCCAATAAAATTACCAATCACCTCAGGCTTAACGCTCCTGGTTTTGCCTTGATGTTTTATCAAAGTCATAATTAGGGCCACAAGGCAAAGGGAGCTTACAATAAGCCCTGCAGCCAGTAAAATTGGAATTATCGATAATTTTTTGTCTTCTTGAGCCAGTTTTATAACATTTTCACGCTTAGGAAGGACTATTACAGTAAAATTGCCTTTAGCTGAACAATAATAAGTCCTATTATCTTCAATAATGTCCAAGCCACTCAAAAATAAAGTAACAGTCTCATTTTTCCAATCTTCACAAATTAACGTAACATTTTGGCTTTCTTCAACCTCAAAATCTTGAGATTCACAACTCAATTCGCTATCATTCAAGCCCCTGACAGGCAATCCTCTGAATTTTCTAGGCTCCTCACAAATAGGAGCTACCAAAACAGGATAGATTTTCAACCAAGCGCTTAGAGGCTTTATCTTGCAATCACAAACCCATCGATTGCCATGAAGCTGCACCCCTTTTAGGGTTTGAGGCATTGGGATTTGAGGAAAATTTTCGAGTTTGTTTTGGCTCAGATCTAGCCATTCGAGGTTGTGGAGGTTGCTGAAGGCCTCTGAGCTTATTTGAGTTAGTTCGCAGGAGCTTAAATCAATATTTTGCAGCATGTTTAAGTTATTGAAGGCTAGTTTTTTTAAGGTTTTTATAGGGTTTTTGCTTAAATTGAGGCTCGTTAATGAGGGGCATGGCATTAGGGCTTCCAAGGGGATGTTTTCTAGTAAATTATCACTCAAATCTAAGTGGATTAAGTTGGTAAGGCCTTCGAAAACATCTTTTTTGAGGCTTGTAATTTGGCAATTTTTTAAAAATAATTTTTGAAGGCTTGCGAAGTTTTTGAAGTCATAATCTGGTTGGAAATTGTTTCCAGATAAATCCAGAGTTTGGGTGGCAAAATCTATGTTTTCCGGGATGTTTTCTAGATTTTTCCAAGGGCATTCGACAATTTGCTTATCATTTTCCCAGTTGCAAATACAAGAGGACGGACAACATTTGACGGTGGACACTAGAAAAGTGTATAATAGTGTTTTAAAGCCCATTTTTCTTATGTTAAGTCCATTTTGAGAGGCCTGAAACTGAAATAAAAAAAATTTCGATAAATATAACATTTTAACCGTGACCTAAACACTATTAAAGCCCCCTTAAATCTCAACCATTCAATTATTATCGAGTATCTAATATTTTCGCAAACTCACGCTCTAATAAAAAGGCTACTTGGAAATCCATTAACAAAACCTTTTGTGCAAGTTTCCCATTCAAAATTGATCACAGTCTAAGCCACCGATGGGCCAAAATGATGTATCGAAAGTTTGTTTAGATTGCACTTCAAAAAAAAAAACAAGACTTACCTCCAATAAAATAGACAATTAATTATTATTTGAAAAATCGAGTTTGAGTTCGTTGTTGGCTCTAAACTGAACTGATTTTGGGTATTTTGAGCGTCTGGTTTTAACGACGCCGGGCGTCACTATACGCCGACGCTATACCTACCTATTTTCTGATACTAAATTTTCTTGAAAATCCACACTGGAAGCTTGCTAACACCAATCCAGAATTTACATATTGCCTTTTTAGAAATTTTGGCTGTGAGGATCAAAAAAATAATGAAAAATTGAGTGTATTGTTTTCATCAAAGACTCTTGACATTATAGTTAAATGTTTCATATTCAATTCAGTTAGGCTTTCATAGTCGACATAATGATAAAATGAGTTTAAGCGAAATTAAAACTGGAAAATCCACAGGTTGCTGATAGAATGGTAATCGATGAAAGATTTGGAATTGAAATTGAAACCTATATCGAAACTGAAAAGGATATTCTTTCACTTTACCTTACTTCCAAACTCCACTCAGTTGGCCAGCTCTTTCAGGAAGCTCAAGTCCAATTCAAAGGAGTGCAAACGAAACGGCGGGTTTATTTTCTCGAACCACACGAAACGAGTTTTTGGCGATTAACTTTACTCGTCGGCAGTGTAAGGACTTTGCAGATATCCTTTTCCAGTTCGCTCATTTTTGATATCCAAATTTAGCAAAGCCGAATCAATTCTTAGGCATATGGCATATAGCACGCCCAATTCAATTAGAATAAAACAGTCTGAACAGAGTTTGAATGTGATTCATACTTCGAAACGTTGACTTTTCAAGAATGGATTTCTAATGTTTCTTTTGATTCAGAGAATCACAAGGTTCAAGAATCAATAAAAATTTAAAAAAATCAATATTCATGAACATTTTTGTTTCAATCACAAGATGACCCAAGAATAAAAATCAATAAGTAACTTCTCCTTCAACCAAAAGATGGCACAAATAATGTTATTTTCTAACTCAAAATATTATTCATCGAATCGAATTTAAACGATTTTTTTTTTGTATGCTTTCAGGGTCCAGACTTACAAGAAAAAGGTCAGCTTATCGCCATCCTAATGAGGCCTAAAGGTAAGTCTTTTCGATATCCAAACTAGATTTGCTCAATTTTACCTCAAATAACTTTTTCTGACACACAAAAAGATCAAGTGAAAAAAAAAAAATGGTTTTTATTTGTCAAAAACTTACTTAACTTGAATACAAAACTCGCAGCACTATTCTCATCTTGCCCCAAGCATCCTAATGAGTTTGGAATTATGCAAACACTCCGAGGGTCGTAACTATTTGAGGCGAAAAGCGGAAAAACGCCTGTTTTCTGCACAAGACTATATATGTGGTTTCATGGAAAAATTAGTCACATTCTTCTGGATGTAATAATCTCCTCCATGAGCTTCATGGGCTTGAATTTTCTTTATTTATTCCAAGCTCTTGAATTTTTAATATTCTTCATATTCAATAATTATTTTATTTTTATTTGTGGTTATATTTAGGTATATGTTTGCAAAGAGTTTCTGTGTAATTTTCAGATGTTGGACAGAATTTTTTCCGATCCTCTTTGAGACCGGTTCTCAAAAAACCTGACGAAATTCAACTTTTCACTCGAAGATCAGTAGAGTACATTTTCTGAAATGTTCACATCTTTGCAAGCCCATTATCTGTTTGAGTTAAGAGTAGAATGAATTGATGAATTTTCCCCATATTAATTTCTTTTTCCTATTTGTGGGTCATACTTTGGTTTATTTATTTTGAAAGTATTTATTGAAAAATGTAGTGGAATTCCATTATTGGTTTCTTCAACCTGATCATTATCCATTCTACTTCCTTCTCAGCTGACATATAATTTGAGAAGACGCCGATAATCACCTGGTACATGGACATTCTACATATTTTTGCATATACCAAAGCTCCTGGTTGAAATTATCTAAGACCAATAACTTTTTTCTATTAATATAGATAGAAAACTAAAATTTTCAGCGATTCGTATACCAGTAGAGGACTATATTCCCAGAAAATTTCAGCTCATTTGGACTTATAGTTCTAGAAATGAATGCCTGTTTTCATAGATTTTTAATTCAAATCTCAGAATAATTTAGTGTATGAAATTTGGGGGGTCCCCGATGATTATTTAGACACAAAATCTCAACATAAAAAAAATTTAAATTTCATCATTTTAATACTAAGGTACCTAGCTATTACTTCTTGATTTGGATTTTTAAAAACTTTGAAGATCCATAACTTTTTTCTATTATAGATAGAAAGCTGAAATTTCCAGTGATTCTTATACCAGTAGAAAACTACAATCCCTGAAAATTTCAGCTCTATTGCACTTATAGTTCCTGAGATAAAATCGTGTTAAGAAATTTGGGGTGATTTATCAATTTTTCAATTTTTCTGAGTGCCTTTTTTCATAGATTTCGGCTTCAAATCTGAGAATAATTTAGTGTATGGAGTTTGGGGTATGTTGATTGACCATTAAAATACACAATCTCGATAAAAAAAAAATTGAAATTTCATCGTTTTAGTAAGAAGGTACCTACCTTATGATTTAGATTTTAGAAAACTTTGAAAGGTCATAACTCTTTTTCTATTATAGATAGAAAGCTGAAACTGTCACTGATTTTTATCCCTTTCAAAGGACTATAATCCCTGCTCATTTGGACTTATAGTTCTAGAAATGAAATCGCGTTATGCAATTTGGGGTAAATTTATCAATCCGTCAATTTTCTGAGTGCCCTTTTCCATAGATTCCGGCTTCAAATCTCAGAAGTAGGTACTGGTATTTATTCATCTACAATGCTTGATTTGTCTTGTGGCATCAGCAAATCCATTACTATTTGCATTTTTCTTCCCAATTTTCTTCTGGGGATTTTCCATTTGGAGAACTGACTTTTGGTTTAGACCTATAACTTCCCTTGGCTGTTCCTCCCTTTCCATTTTTATCAATGCTTTTCTCAATGTATTTTCAAATATTTCAGCTTGACCATTGAATTATGGTGAGTATGAAACTGAACGAATATGTTGAATGCCCTTCTTTGAACAATTATTCTGAAAATTTTCACTAGTAAATTAATATTATTATCAATATCAGAAACAATATTGTTAGGAATTCTGAATCTTGAATAAATTTCTTCTAGTAAAATTTAAAGCTATATTCTTTGTTGTGACAACTTCTAACTTCTGGCCACTTGGAAAAGGCATCTATGATTACCAATTCACAGGACCTGCATAGTCTATGTGAAGTCTTTCCTATACATTCTGTGCAATAGTCCAAGGTGATATCTCTTATTTTGGTGTCCTTGTAGCATGAAGAGCAATTTTGAAAAAATTTTGTAATGTCATCATCAATCTTCTTGCAGGGTATCCTGTGTCCTTGATGCAACTGTTTGAGTATTCGATAACAAAGAACTTTTGGCCTCCAAACATCAAACATTTGACTATATAGACAAAAATCATCTCTTCGTGAATAAAACTTCATTTCATCTGCATTTTGTTGATGTTTGAAAGGCCATGAATATTGAACGTAGTATAAAATATTTCTTAATACATTATTTTTGCGTGTTTCCTGATAAATATTTTTGATTTTGATTGGTAATAATGATTTCAGAGTTTTATCAAAAATATGACAAACCGAGGGGTCAAACCACTTCCCAAAATACGTGTATCCTACTTGGCCCGAATTACCTAGAAATACCGTGAAGTACCTCAAAATACCAGGTATTCCCGTCGAAGTTTGCGGAATCCCATGTAATTACCATCGAAGTACGCGAAATACCCTCGAATTACCGTGCAAAGTCTCTCAAATACTTCTAAAAAAAATCTCGTTGACAAAGTTTGTCGTTGATAACGTTTCTTTTTGTAAATCGCAGTGAAAAATTTTTGCTTGGACTTTTGTGTCTTTTGATATGATGGATTTTTTTCGGACACACAGGATAGACAATTAAATCAATAGTTAGTGATGCTGACTGTTAGTTCTACAATGCTGTTAGATACAGGGTCATCCAACGAGGACTGAACAGGGGTCATTTTTGACTTTCCCTGTATTTTTTAGAAAATCCAAAATAGCCAATTAGGCATTCCAACGACCTGTCAAAAAGTGCGTTGTGGCAGAAGTTTATTATCCCGTATATGAGAGTATGTAATTTAAAGCTTTTTAAAGTGCATTTTGTGGTTGTTTTGTGAATGAACTCTGTTTATTTTTTTATTTTATTGACTTCATTAGTGTTTCTTCCAATTAAAAATGCCACAAACGGATCTTCAAGTTGATTGTGAAAGTAGTTTCAACAAGGTAACAAGGATGATGTCAGGCTTTTTTCATTGCCCTTTGTTTTAAAATTTTCCTATTAAAACGTGAAAACTTTTCACTACCACTGTTCCTGCATCTGAAATAAAGCCATTTTCGAAATATTCGTAAGAATCTAAGCTTTTGTAGGTCTTCATCTGCTCATTAATGTGAACTGTGGATCAAATTGTCATCTGGACATTTTTTAAAACTAACTGTTCGCCCAGATCGCGATTTTCCTGCATTCAAGTCTTTAAATATTCACTCTGCATCTCAAAAAGTATATTATAACAAAGTAAACTGTAATTTGCTTAAAAATATGCCAAATAAACTCAAGATAAACAAACAAACGTCAAATTTTCCACGGTCGCCATATTGAAAAATCACGTGGTTTGGAG